CAGGCGGGTGGATCGGGGTCACCACCAAGCACGAGGATAATACAGCACAGTTAGATTTCTCCTCACCGAGGTTAGGAGGGGGAGGGGGGGAGGGGTAAGGGAAGGAAAAGAAAAGAAAGAAAGAAACATCATAAGCTCTCTCATTTGCTTCCTTCTTTTCTTCCAGGGTCTCTGATGGATGATCCTGAGGGGAGTTTGAGCGAATGCAGCCATACGAGCACCGGTATAGTCCTCAACAAATGAGCTGGAATCAACAAGGTTCTCACTGTGTATAAAAGTGATCACGAAGGAAAGGGGGGAAGGAAAAAGGAAACCCTACCGCAGTCCTCGTGCCGTAGCGCTCGGATAGTGAATGGGTGAGAGGAAAAAAAAAAAAACTTTGATGAGAGGTGAGAGAAGAGGACACGATACCGTACGAGTATGATATGGTACTACCGGTATTGTTTGGAAATGCAAAATATATTATATACCGTGAAAGGTTTCTTTGCGAAGAAATAAATGAAAATTTTTTTGGATCACGATGCGGTCTCGCTCGCCCAATCAGATCTCCATGACCTCGGAAGCGGTTTAAATTTACTTCTCGACCGACCATGCATCATTACCTCCTTGTGTCCCCCACCTCTGTCTCCCCCCTTCCCACACACACACCTCTCGCACCGAAAAGTGAAATATTGATAGATACCGGTATACTTTTATCGTCCTATCGTGGAAACTCGTGGCTTGATATCAGCCTTTATTATCATAATATCGTACCGCCATGATATTATTATTATCGCAGTACTTGTACTGGCACTTGTACCGGTATTCCCTTTCCGCCCTTCGGGATCAGGTTCGTTTGTGCTGTACCGTACGAGTGCTCGTAACAATGCCGTAATCTGCTACACGGGCAGTCCGCTCTCGCCGGGCGTCGTCGTCCCACGACAGCGATCGAGCGCCGTCGGCTTAATAGCCGTGGATACCAAAAGGGAAAACAAGACATCGCGTACGGTAATTATCGTAGGACTCTTCTTTTTTTTTCTTCTTCTTCTTCTTTCCCGCTCAGGTCTTCAGGTCTGAGACATGTTACCGGTACTGTACTAGTACTGGTACAAGTACAAGTATCAAAATTTGTTCCCTCATTCATAAAAAAAAGATCAACCGACTGACCAACCGACCAATGAGAAACGGGGCCATCGAAACCACACCCCGCCGATCCGCAAATGAATAAATGAATAAATAGATAGATATTCCCCGGCTGATGAGCCCTGTCCCCACGGTGCTCGTACGTTACGATAATGTATCACATCATCCATCGCAGAACATGACAATTCATTCATGTCACCCATTCATGAATGGGGTCCGCCTTCGAAAATCCGTTATGGTAGTCTATCTCCTACCTTCTCCTTCTCCTTGACCGATTGAGAGACAGTCCGACCGACCGACAGACGGGGCCTAAACGATATCCTTATATTTCCTTGTTCCCGGGACCCAAAAGGGAGGGGGATCCATAAAACCCGTGGGCACCTATCTCTCATACATGGAAAGTGAAAGCCATCGAACATTTGACCGAAAATAGGTCTGAGGTGCCTGGCTAAATTGAATTCAATAACTTTTGCCTACCTGCCTGCCTGCTTGCCTGCCTGCTTTTTTTTTTTTTTGATACCTTGATTTGCCAACCGGCCGACCGGCCAGCCAGCCAGCCTGGCCACCGTGGTCTCCTAACCTAGTCTGTCCGTCCAACTGGGGGGCTGCTGGTTTAACTGGCTGACTTCTTCCCGATATGTAACTTACCCATTTCTACGGGAAGCCATGCAAATTGCCTGCCTGTTTGAAGGGACGTAAAAATGTCACGGAAGAAGGAAAAATTGCAACCTCAAACATAGCGCGTCGGTCGATAATTGTACAGGAACGGTTAAAGTTATTATTTCAGTGGCCAGTTGATCGCTTGCGTTCTCTCGGATTTTCTTTTTCCTCGCTCATTTATCGTCCTTTTTTTCTTTCGAGGGGGGTTTTTCTTTTCTCCCGTCACTTTCATTCCTCCAGCCCCGACTTTGGTTCCACCGTATGAACGCGGGCTAGCCGTGGCATGTGTTCTCGAGTAAATTGATAAAAAAAGTGTTCAACGATAAAGGGAAAAATCTGAGGGTGTAGGAGATAGATAGATACGGTATGTGCGTAGGGTCACGCAGTGGGGGAATGTTTGTGGTAAGCTACCGGTATGCTGGCAAATCCTTCGTGAATCTTGATCCACATTTGCCCGTAATCCAAGGGCTTCAGCCCCTCACACACGCTAGGCGGAGGGCAAATAGCGGTATGTACTCGTACGAGTGTGAGAGCTGTGTACAGTAGAGACGAGAAAAAAAAAGGCTTGGGGTTGACCAGACCCGACCCTAGGCCCTTTAAACCTTGAATGAGGGGGACTCGGTGGCGACGCTAAAAAGATGCCTGGATTAGGACTGGTCGAGTGAGAAACTGAGGTGATGGGAAGAGAGGCCTGGAGCAAGGCAGTTCTCCGCCCACCCGCCAAAGGTGGGCAAATCATGCCAAGGGCCAATCATACTGCTTCACGCCGTGAAAACACCCATCATGCTCCAAATATTGAAAAGAGGTTGACAAGTACCGCGTCAGGACCGTGATGATACCGCCTCGTAACCAAGGGACTTGTGTTTGCCCAGCATGCTGAGTGAGAAAAAGTGCTGTACCGCGAGATGCATGGTATGGCCCATAACCCGCCCCCATAGGACGGGGCCGGAACAAACAAAAATAAAACATTTATGGCCATCAATTTTGCAGTTTCAAGGTTGGTCACTTCCAACACTGGTTAACTCGGTTTTATAATAGGTGGCACGAATGCCGGATGATGACTACATGTTTCCTATTCCCTCTCGTTATCCTTTCCCTTGGTGGTGGTGGAGCCAGGGCAGGCCATGAGGATTGCTTCGATTGTGAAGTTTGATGGTCTTGGGTGTCGGTCGGTCAGGACTGCATGATTGGGTGAATCGGAATCCCAATATGCGTGCCCTTTTTTTTTCTTCTTCCTTGCTCTTCCCCGCCTGCCTCCGCCCTCCCACTCCCGTATTTGGTTGACGCCAACCCCATATAGCATTAGTTTCAGGCATTGGCTTACCTTGTACATGGCATAGAAATTACCGTATTCGCGACCACCTTTCCGTGTTTTCTCGATTGACTTCTCGTGCCAGTGATAAACCGCCGTGATCCAGCCAGCCAACAAAAACGACCGCATGGTACAGTACCGTACTGTAAACCGCAGCAACCCCAGCCCCTTGGACGTCCAGCCAACCCCCAGAGCTCAAGTCCCTGTCCGCCACCTTTGATTGCATCCATATCCTGCTCATCTTTCCAGGAATCGCCAAGCAAGGAATGAAAAAGACAAAAGAAAAGAAGAAGCAAGGACTCCCTCCATCGGTAGCTAGCAAGAGTACTCGTACAAGTGGGACCCGGAAGTCACGTTACGCACTAAGGAAGGAGGAACCAAAAAAAAGAGGTGAAATGCTCGAGTACAGACCACGAAAAAGCAAAATGGGGTTTAGGAAAGAAGAGGAATCAAGTGAAAAAAATTAAATTCGGCCAGCCATCTCCAGAAACATCCAATACCGGAACACCAAGAACTTGCCCGGGTGTACCGTATACGCTTTCAGGGCTGTGGTGACTCGTGAGCTTTCTGGGTTGCTTTTCTGCCTGTGCCTTGTTGTTTTTCGCTACAGCACGGTACTCGAGTACAAACCTGAACATGACCACACCGAGACCGGACATCAACCTCTAGCACCTGCTGGGTTCTTTCCCTTGTCCGGAAACCTCAAGATGGCTTTGTTGGGTCTCGATAGCAGGCGCGGAACATTGATGCAAAGCAACGAGCATGGTTGATTACTGTCGAAGGGGGGGGGGAGGGTTGCACGGAGGGGTGGTGGTTATTTGAGATATGTGTGTGGGGGGGGAGAGGCAAAATGCAGTGAGGGTTGAAAGGGTGACAAAGGCTGTAACAAAAAAAACAATCCATCCAAACTGTCGGAATCATCATATCCGGCAACGTCTAGCTCTTTTTCTCGCTCTATCCGCTAGAGCTGGGTTGCGCAGTGGGCACACAAAGGAGCTAAGCAGAGGGTGTCAGTGCAAGTGCATTCGTTAGTCTGACTTGGGAGCCGGAGGAGAGGGAGGAGCGAGTGACTGACTGACTCCACCCTCGCGGCGGCAGCTCCAGCATCGCCTGGCATGGTTGTCATAGGGTAAGAGGAAGGTATCACTATCACAGGGTATATCGTATCATGAGAATGGGGGAGAATGAGAGAAATCTTCAATGCCGGTAAAAAAATAAAAAAAATGAAAACGGGATAACAAAGGCTCTTGTGGGCTTGCCGTTTGGATGATTTCTTATTCGAATTACCGGTGTTCCATGTTATGATATCTCTTCCTCTCTCTTGCTCCTTCTCTTTACGATAAGGTCAAAGTGTATCCAGTGGATGTTTGATGGTTGTGCGTGTGTGTGATGGTGTTATTGCAGGTCCTATGTTTTAGCCCTACCTTCTTCTGTACCTTCTTTTTTCTCCACTCCACAGCGAATAAAGTAGACGATCCTCATTCCGTTTTCAATCCATTCATCCATTCTCCACCAACAGGGAGCCGGATTCACCAGGGACAATCCTTAACAGTTAACACGCATTTTATGCCCACTCCGCTGCCCCCATGATATCCATCCTCCATCCCTAGGCCTGCTCTACCGTAGGTGCTTTTTTGGTTGCTCTGTGTTTGGTTGCTTGGTTGCTCTTGCTTTGGCTAACTAGCCTGCCTGGCTGTTACCCACACCCTCACTCACCCCTGCCATTTGCTCTCACACCCCCCCCCCCTGCCCCCAAATTCCCATTCCTCCCTCCCTCCACCGAGTTCGTTCCCATCATTCATACACCCGCCCAATACCACCACTCACAACCCCCAGTCCGGTCCATCCACATTCATCCCACAGCCAACGCCAACCCCTTCCTTCCTTCTTCTCCCCAATTCTCTCCAAACACAATCTCTATGGCCCCAAGGAATCTCACACATCCCCTTTCCCATCCGATACATATTGTACGCACACAGCTTAGCGGAACGCGCATGCCCTCACACACTCACTTCGCCCGGCACGCGCCGCTTACTTGGGAAAAGTGGCAAAGCCCGTCTTCATTACATCAAGGGTTCGACGAACCTCGCCTCGACCACAGTCCACCTGCGTCCCTGATTGCGGTTTCCGTTGAGACATGACATGACGCCAATACCAGAAGCAATCCCGGGTCATGCTCTGGCTTGCTCTAGAAATAATAGTATTATTCTATCCACTCGCCGTTTCCCGCTACTTTCCCGCTGCTCCCACTGCTGTGCTTGCACTCATTCTCCTGCTGTTACCGCCTTCGAACGATTCCCCAGCTCCGAGGCCTACGCACTACCGGTACCACACAGCATAGCACAGCTTCTCCTCTCCCTTGCCCGGCCTCTCTGGTCTTGACGAGGCCATAGCGGTGGTGTCTCTTTATCATCCCCACCACCGCCTGCGGGGTCAATCATCACACAGACTCAGACAAGTCCTATACCACTTTTGAACCCCATAAAACCACCCTCAGGAGAATATATACCATTCTGCCCCCTCGGCATTATCTTGGAATCTCTTCCCCTGAACCCCCCAAAAAGGTTGCCTTAATGTTGAACTTCGCAGCTCGACCACTCATGCATCCTCACACCACTCACCATCCTCTGGAAGGGATACAATCCTACCATCGCTCAACATCTGTTTGTCCCGTTCCATCACGACGGCCCAACTCTTACGATTGGCAACGGCCCATCTCGGAGGGGTCCTGCAAACTTTCGCATCCTCCATCACGGATCCCTTCAGCATCCTTTGTGAAGCCAGGTCTCCAAACCCCACCCCCAGATATGACCAACGAGGGCGTGGGACCATTACTGCCCCCTAGTTATGGACACCTTCAGCAATTTGAGCCTCAGGTTGGTCGTGGGTTGCCTGGACCGTTGGAGATATTTAGGATGCCGAGCGAGGATGCATATATGTCACACTTCCCTTCCAAGAGAACGGAGAGCCCACCACCGTCGAAACGAGGTTCAGCGGCCCAGCAACAGCAGCGGCCACGGGAGGAGCAACCGACCAGACGACGAAGAAGTTCTACTAGTAATGCAGGTGCTTCGTTGAACGTTCCTTCCACTATCAACGGATCGAAGGCAAACCTATCAGAGTTTGCATCACAAGTAAGCATTTGCATCCTCTTTTTCCCCTCCGGAGGTGCATTGCCCTGTCTAATTATACAAACCAGATTACTTGTCTTTTGTGGTTTGAGTCGTCAGCTGTTCTCCGGGGGGTAGCAGAGTCAACAACTACACCAATTCCACAGGTTCCTCTCGCATCAGATGCCATCCCAAGCCTGGGATTCCGTAAATGGGTCACAACGATCTTGTCAACCACCCAGGTGTCACAAAACGTCATTCTACTAGCCTTGCTATTTATATACAGACTGAAGAAACTCAATCCTACGGTAAAGGGGAAGCCGGGTAGCGAATTCAGACTTCTTACTGTTGCGTTGATGCTGGGAAATAAGTGTATGCCCCCCCCCCCCATTGGAATGATTTTTCGAACAGAACTGATTTTTTTTTTCCTATTAGTTTTGGATGATAACACTTATACCAACAAGACATGGGCGGAAGTTTCCGGAATTGCGGTGCAGGAGATTCATGTGATGGAGGTGGAATTTTTAAGCAATATGAGGTATAGCTTGTTTGTTGGAGACGTGGAGTGGAGGGCATGGCATAAAACTCTTGGCAAGTTTGCGTCATATTGGGACAAGGCTTCGAGGGCACCGGTCGAGGTATCTTCTAAAGCGCCGGCACCTCTTACACCTACCCTACCGTCAATTCCCGGCTCTTTGCCCTCACCGCCGGCGACTTCGTCCAATGGACCGTGCAGATTGGTTTCCACCATGCCGACACCAATGCCGGCATCGCATCATCAGCTATCGGTTCCTTCTCAGCTCATGCCGGCACATTCTCCGATTACCCCTATGCCCCAACCCGACTTCCAACCTTCCAGGAAAAGGTCCTTTGGCCCCGCAATTGGCATGCAACCGCCAACCAAAAGGGTTACTCGTTCAATGGCTCCCAAAATATCTATTACCGTGCCACAGTATTCTGCACAGGTCCCCACTCATGCTCCGAGATTGCCCGCCAATAACTACCCGCCGGTTACCAGCCAGCCCCAGCAGCAATCGCAGTCGTTGCCAATGATGCCGTTGAATCAATTGCCTTTCCCCAACGCCGGTGGTCGTGCAATGTCTACAGTGTATTCTCAACCCACACCCCAGATATCGCCTGTTAGCGCAGCGCCCATGGCCGTTTCTCCTTACAGCGCCCATTCTCGTGCCGCTTCACCCTACTCTCAGCACCAGACTGTTCATCACTCAGCTGTTTCCTCTCCAACCACCCCCGGTTTTGGATCACAGCAATCCCCAACGTGGGTACGAAACTCCCCATACAGGCCTGTCCGCAGAGTTAACACCTTGTTGGTTCCCCCTGCGCCAATGTCACCGGAGGGAATGGATGTGTCATGGCAAAAAATGCATTACCAGCCATTGGCCAAGACCAGAACCGTATATAAAACCGGCGTTGTTCCATATCTTCAAGCCGACTGGCCTCCCATTTGGTCTAGTCCTACCCCCGACTTTCGTGTATAATTATTTCGTTTTATTTCCTTTCCTTTTTTATTTATTTCTTACTGGTAGTCTTATGCACGTGGCGTGGATGGGCGACTATTGGTACTTGTGTATCGCATTTTAAAGTGGATGGGGTGGCTTGTTTTTTTTGTTTTATTGCGCTGTTTCTTTTACTCGTTGACAGCCCAGTACATATACCAGGTTTCCTTTTATGATTCGGATGACATTTCGGAGGAATCATTTTGATAAGACGGTTTGGCCTGAGCATATGACAGATGTCATTACTATCGCCAACCCTGACTATCGATTGGCTCCAGTTGTATCATTATTCACTTTTTTACCCTTCAAGTCATCGGTGATTTTTATATATATATATTTTTCCTAACGGGTGTTTTTCGTTTCGGGCATTGCAAGCATGGGGAGTGGAGTTGATTTATTTTTTGTATTTTATTTTATTTTATTTTTTACAACATTCTTTTGTGTTTCCCCCCCCCCCTTTTTTTTCCCCTTTCTCCTGGGATACATTTCTTTTCTTTTATTTTCCTGGCATGAATCTCGCAAGAACCACAATTGTAAGTTAAAAAAAAAAGTGGGGCACGGGACGATACGGCGCGGTGTGGTACGGTACACAGTGGAAACAAAAGAGAAGGAAGGAAAAAGAAAGCCAAACACTTTTGAATCACATCATTGGTCTTTTTTTTCTTTGGCAAACAATGATGTGGTTCACACCACGCACGCCTTCTCTCGCAGAGCTCATTTTCTGTGGCTTTCCACTGTTCGCTAGCCCGCGATACCCGTGACTTTACCCTCATGCACGTATGCACGGTATCGTACGTACTCGAGTATGCGCGTACGGTTGCATACCGGTAGGGTGATATGCGCTCTCTGATAGGTACGGTACGAGACACCGTGCTGTATGATGCATACAATATGGCCAGCCAGCCAGCCAGTCGCCTCGCCCTAGCCCACCCACAGATCACCCGTATGATACGAGTACTTTCAGTGTACAGCACCGCCTTCGTACGATACAGCATTACCCCGGTACCATACTGGTATCAATTACCCGCCACACTATCCGCTGCACCGTACATGTATACTCGAGTATACGAGTACTAGTACAGCGCCATGCTGGTGGCGGCGACACCACCGTGAGGCTCATCATACGATACGATACAATACAATACGGTAACACACACACGCAGACACACACACGCAACCACACACACATGCACTCACAACCCCCCATCAGCCCACCCCCCCCATCGCGGGCCGGCCGGCCAGCCAGCCGAGTCAGGTTTTACCGTACACGCAACGATAATAATTTACCGTATTACCGTACCGTTGTATAGTGTATATATAGATCCGATTGCGTAGAGTAAAGCGCAGCACAGTACTGTACGGCACAGCAACCGTACTGTACAGTTACCCATTCCACGAGTTTGAATGCGATATATTTTTATTTATTTTTTCCCCCTTGTAGGTATTGTGCAAGAATGATAGCGTAACGTGTAATTATATATTTGTATGTATCGTAAGGAGGTTCGGTGTTTTGTGCGCTGTTGGGGGTATACACAGTACTGTAATGACAATAATGATAATGGTGATAATAATTTGTTTTGTTTTGTTTTGTTTCTACTGTACACGTGGAAGATGAAGATGAGGAAAAGAAAAGAAAAAAAAGGTGTGCGGAGGGAGGAGTGTTGTGGTTGGCGTGTGAGGGGGGGAGGGGAGGGAGGGAGCGTGATATGTTACCGGTGCCGGTACAATATCGTGGTTGGCGAGTGATTGTGAGTGATTGCGGTCCTTCCTTCCTGCCTTCCCGCTCGGACAAACTTGTAATAATAATAACCAATTATTTTTCTTCTTTATGAGCTGCGTTGGTATGTCGTGTCTTCCCGTACCTTGAGCCAGGCTCGGGCTGGCCTTATCGGACTCACGTGCTTGATTAGCAAGCTTGGATGAGTGTCCGCTCTGTACTCCAGTCGGAATCCATCTATTCATCCATCCATCCATCCATCGCGGATCCATAATAGCAGTTGCTTGGACCATACGAGTGATGAAGAGTGCTTTGAAAGCCGTCGTATGTCATAGTTGGGTCCGAAGATTGTGGAATCGGGAGGGAGGGAGGGAGGGAGGTTTTCAACTCACTTATATAATACTTTACCACCCCTACGCCTTCCGTTGTATCCGTGCAGATTTATATCGTACCACCTATGGCAAGGCGTTACCGGTACTACACGTGTGGACACGATGCTATGGAAGTTGTGATATGATGTCATGCAGCGTGGAACGCCCGGACGTTCTCTTTCCGTTCTGTTCGTTCCGTCCATCGCCGCTCGTATATATACTGCGGGGTGTGAACTTGGATTGACCGCTTGGTTGCTGCTTCCCGCTCGGAATTTGTTGGTTTGTTGAATGGTGACTATCCTTTCTGTACGGTACTTGCTATCTGGCACTTTTCATATTTCTTTATTTTTTTTCTCTCTCGTCAATGCGTTCTCCGGGTGTTGCGTCAACTCCTGTAGGCGTGTGTAGTGCTTCATGAAGAGGTGTAATGGAAGGAGTGAAGGGTGTTCTTGGGGATATAGGTTGCGGTTGTGGTTGTGGTGGCGAGGGAATCGCTGTGCGCGGGGTTTGTTTAACTGTGTCTGCGAGTGATTTATCGTGAGGGGCACTTGAAAGGGGTGTGAGTCTATTTATTAAAAATATCGCCGGGGGTAGGGGGGCGGGGGGTGAGTGTCTTGTTGCTATGGTACGGTATGTTGCTGTCAACTCCCGGAGTTGGGTGCCAAGTTTACAATTTTCACAGTATAATCCTCAAATCCGTGGAGGAAACTGGGCGGCGGTGAAAGGAGTGTATCATAACGGATAAATTTTATTTTTGTTACCCTACTTTTGTGATCTCACTTTTTATTTTCACCAACGGAATATCTCTGTTCCTTCTCCCCGCTCGGTTCCGGCGTGGCTACATACCGTAACGGTTGCTGTGGGGTTGTTGGACTCATGGATTTCTTGGAATCCGGTTTTTTACTTTCTTTTCTTTCCCATTTTTTTTTTCCCTTTCCTTCTCTTTTTCTTTTTCTTTTTCTTTCCGCATTGCCTGAGTAAACCTAAGTTTTACTACTTTTTTTACTTTTTTTTTTTTTTTGATCCAAAGGAGGCGTTATGTATAAACCAATCAAGGGTTTTTCCTGTTCGGGGGTCTCCGCCGATGGGATGGGTTGTCGCAGTTGCCAGCGAGGTTTTCCCCCCGGTGATGGTGGGCCGGCGCGGTACGGATGCGTTATCGGGTATTTATCTCTGCTTTGGCTATCATACTTGTACAATACGCATATGTGCGAGTCGGGATGAAGGCGCAGGCCCATGGTGGTTCTTCGTCTGATACCACTATTCTTGATGGAATTAAGAACGGAGTTTATATACAGTGTTGATGGGATGCCCTGAGGGGTAGAGGGGCCGAGGGCTTCGCCCAACATGATCCGGAGTGGCAGTCTGGTCATAGGCGGAGCTCGCTGGATATCATAGAACGATAATTTGCGCTTTCTGTGGTCGGTTCACGAGCACGATCCTGGCCCCAAAAGGCATGTGTAGGTTGCCGTTTCGCACCAAAGTTGCATGGCTTTATGGACTGTTAGCTCCCCAAAACAAGGCAGAATTAATCAATATTTCAGGAAAAAAGTGAGTGACTTTTGTCACCCTTGTCTGAGCGCTGGTGGCTAGACTAAAGATTTATTATTCATGGGGTGTTGCAATGTGCCCTTTTTGCCGAAAGTTGTTGTGGCTTGGGGTATTAATGTTCCTCTCCTACTCGTAGAGTCTTTTGACAGAGCTTGATCTCTTTTTGGGGAAAATTCCATATGATTCCAAGAGGATTTTTTATCGGATTTTTATTGTTTTATGAAAGCAATCAGGGTGAGATTTCCGGATGCAAAGTTGCTCATCTCTGGTGCACAAGTAGAGTACCAGTCTACTCATGTCATGATATCCTGCGGGTCCACCTGGGTGGAGGTATCATTAGTCATCATGCTACACACTTCCCGTCATCACGGGCCAATATTGATCTCGGGGACCCGGGCTTTGGAAGTGAGTGATCCCGGGTGAAATCCTTTCCAATTGTCCATGTTACCGTGTGCCGGTGCTCCCCTCGATCGATAGAGCAGCCGACCCATCACACCTGCCGCCGGAGACATCTCTCAGATCATACCTCCATCGCAATCCGCCGTCACCGCAGGCCCAACGCCCGGCTTACAAGCATTGGGGAGTCTGCCGCTCGTCTTGTCTCGCTTCTTGATTGAGGGGGATCCATTACCTGGATCTTAAGAGAATTTGTGCACCGTGTTTAAGCAGAGGTGTACCATATCGGCGGCTGACTTGCCGTATCCTGTCTTCATCGCGGGGAACCTGGAGACGGCGGTGACGTCTTGGCTTTGTTTTCTCTCCCTCTCTTCATGGGCCACTGTTGATTTTTTTCTTACCTTCTTTCCTTTTTGCGAGTGGCGTCAAGGTCTTATCAGCCAAGTTGACAGGTTTGCATTATCGTACTGGTGCCGCGATATCGAGGAGCGATTTTTCTTTTGTGGCCGTCTGGGTGACTAGGTTTCTCGAGTGTTCAGCCAATGGGCCACCTCCAAAGAAGTGTGAAGGGTCAGCGCACGTTATCATAGGGCGAACGGTTATTATAATTGTAATTTTTCTTCTTTTCTTTCTTTGCCCCATTGAGACCATTTGTTCCGCCGTCATTGAATTCTTCTGTAGGGCTGTGACTCCGAAGGGTTGCACAGCTGCAACTTTTCTTCCGTTCAATGTCTAGTTTTGGACCCTGTTTGCATGGTGCATTTTTTTCTTTTTTTTTTCCCGTCCCTCGAGAATTTTTTTTCCCGTCTCTTGGTTGAGCCTCCCCACCCCGTCCCTCTTCTACTTAGGCCCTGCATTTGGCCTTCGAGCTCAGCACATCGGTTTTCCCTTTCCAATAGCGAAACCAGAAGCATCGCAACTATGAACGCCGCAGCCAGATTCCGACCTCTTGCGAATATGCTGGTGGCTCGCAATTCGCGCTTGATTGTCCCTCGTCAGATCTTCGGGCGAGGGTTCAAGCCACAGTCGATCCAGTCATTTCGCCGCGGTTTCGCTTCCGGCGCTACGATCCCGCAGCCGAGGCCGAAGAAGAGGTTCCGAATTCTGAGGAATGCTTGGAGATTGACTCTGGGCTTGACGTTTCTGGGAGCTGGATGGTTAGCGTATTCCATCTACGAGACCAGGTTTCCCCATGAGCAAATTGAACCTGATCCGGCAAAGAAGACCCTCGTTATTCTCGGTATGTTTTCCGCTTGAATGCCTGCTGCGGTTTTCAAGGGAGAACGGGACACTGATCTTATCGCTTTACTTTTTAGGTTCTGGATGGGGTAGTGTGGCACTACTCAAGAAGTTGGACACTGAGAACTACAATGTTGTGATTATTTCTCCAAGAAATTTCTTTTTGTTTACACCTTTGCTCCCCAGTTGCCCTACCGGAACTGTCGAGCATCGAAGCATCATGGAGCCTCTGCGTCACATTATCCGCCACAAGAGGGCTTCAGTGAAATTCTACGAAGCTGAGGCAACCAAAATTGATAATGAACGTCGCGTTGTTGTCATCAACGATCTTTCCGACGTGAAGGGCGATGTGCATCAGACAGAGGTTCCTTTCGACTACCTTGTGGTAGGGGTTGGCGCGGAGAATGCTACTTTTGGTAGGTGGTGGTGACGTGACCACTATTATTTAGCCAAATTTTGGTACTAACGAGCTGCCGCTGCAGGAATACCGGGCGTCCGTGAGCACGCATGTTTCCTGAAGGAGATCGGTGATGCACATAAAATCCGGAAGACTGTCATGGATTGCATTGAGACCGCCATGTTCAAAAACCAGACACAAGAGGAGAAGGAGCGCCTTCTTCACATGGTAAATTTTTTTCTTCTTTCTCTTTTTTTTTTTCTTTCGAAAAGTATACCATGGCGTGTTTATTTCCTCCCTTAGATTCCATGCGGGGCTGCTAACCATCAGCGTTACCTAGGTTGTTGTCGGAGGTGGACCCACTGGCGTTGAGTTTGCGGCAGAGCTCCAAGATTTCTTTGAGGATGACTTAAAGAAATGGATTCCGGACATTGCCGACGATTTCCATGTTACACTCGTTGAGGCGCTTCCAAATGTAAGCCGTGGGGCAGGGTCTTCTGGCATGTGAACATTGCATCTCATACGCTGTTTTCTAGGTTCTACCCATGTTTAGCAAGACCCTTATCGAGTACACCGAGAAAACCTTCAAGGACGAAAAAATCTCGGTTCGCACCAAGACAATGGTCAGGAATGTTACCGACAAGCATATTGAAGCCGAGGTTACGCATCCCGACGGGAGAAAGGAGCTACAAAGGATCCCCTATGGGTGTCTTGTCTGGGCCACCGGAAATGCTGTGAGACAAGTCGTCCGAGATTTAATGTCGCAGCTCCCGCAGCAGAAGAACTCTCGAAGGGGTCTAGCAGTTAATGAGTATCTTGTCGTCAATGGTACCGATGGTGTCTGGGCCCTTGGCGACTGCAGTGCCACGAAGTATGCTCCGACTGCTCAGGTGGCATCCCAGCAGGGCGCCTTTCTGGCACGCTTGTTCAACTCTATGGCACGGACCCAAAATTTGGAATCGGAACTGAATCATCTCGAGGAGCTCTCCACACAAGCGAAGATCCAGGAGGATCGTGAATCATTAGAGAGGGAGATTCAGAAGAAGAGCAAGGCGATAAGAAGGGTCAAGCAACTGTCACCTTTTGAATACAGCCACCAGGGATCATTGGCTTACATCGGAATGGAACGTGCCGTTGCTGACATCACCTGGTTCAATGGAAACGTACATATTCCAGCCTTTTACTCTGTAATTATTTATTGTGCTCATGCTGATCGCATTATCTAGCTGGCTTCCGGTGGATCATTGACCTATCTCTTTTGGAGGTCTGCTTATTTGTCAATGTGCTTTGCTAGTACGCATTGCCCATCCTGCATGTCGGTATGATCAAAAGGATTGGCTAACGCTTGAACCCTATACAGCCCGTAACAGAGTCTTGGTGCTTATGGACTGGATGAAAGTCAAGGTTTTCGGTCGTGATGTTTCCAGGTAGCTATCCTGACGTCTTCCCATGGGCTCTTGTCCGCAAGGTCACTGCTCTGTTTAAAAAGTAAAAAATAGAGTGATGACCTTGCGAACAGGATCCCCTAACTTAGTCTTAGTTCTAATACCCCCCTTAAAATTTAGGGAATAGTTCTTTTCAATGCGGCAAAATGAAACTTGCACGCCCGATTTAAATGAACCTTTTCCTTTCCGTCTTTCTCATGTTCCACTTTTTATTTCTCCACTATTTACTTTTCCCTTTCCCTTTTCTTTTTTTTTTCTTTTTTTCCCTTAATAGATATTCCATCCTGTTGGAACCGGGCCTCCTCTCGAGTTGCAGTCTCCAGGATTTATTTCCCCCAGCAAATCTTCTTACCTCTCCAGCATTTTTTTCATTTTCCTCTCTCACGTAGACTTAGAGGGTTTATGGGTTGGGTTCGTTTTTCATTGCTCTGTTTGTCAAGGGGGTAAGTATTCCGGCGGTGTTTACATCACGAACATAATAGACATGACAGGTTGATTGCTGTACTCGTCCACGGAGGAGTGAGCAAAGTTGTATATGGTGTTTTGTTTTTTTTTTTAAAAAAAAAAAGAGAGGGGGAGGGGGCATCTAATTTTCATAACAATTTGTATTCTATAGATGATTACTTGGTAAAGTTCAGCAGAATAGAGATAATTTCGCATGGGTAGCTTTTATCACTTGGTTTGTGATATCATACTTGTCTATGATAGATATTAGCTGGCCGCAGGGGGATACGGTGCTGGTGAGGCAGGATCATCACAAATAGTCACTCGAGCAGCTCGAGTAAAGCTTGGGTAGAGGGCTGTATGATACTTGTGGTATCATACCGTAATCGGTTCAGTTCAGTAGGCACTATCCAAAGGTAACCCACATATGCTAAGCTGTATCATATCATACATACGGAAAAAAAAATTTAAAAAATAAAACAATAGGTATGATAAGTTAATGGCACAAGCCCTTTGCAAAACCGCTCTATCCCTCCCTACCCACTTCCCAAGAGACAAAGGAGGCACCCAAGCAAACGGACGACGTCCCATGCAGTCAAGATAAAGTTTGGCACGCCAAGACACACACACCACCGGTCCACCACAACCACAACCGAGCACACAACTTCCTTCCTTCCTTCCTTTCTAATTACCCCTCCGGAAGAGCTTCATCCATCAACACAATCAAAACAGTCCTCCCGCAATGTCAAAATTCTACTTCGACTCCCCCGCGTCGACCCCCTCCCCACCCCTCCCCCCCACCTCCTCATACCGCAGGGCAGCCACGGAGGGGGTGGGGGTGACGGCGAGGACGACGACGACGACAACGACCCCTCCACCCTCCCTTTTCCGGCCCCGCTCTCCCGCAGCGCCTTCTCGAACCTGGAAGCGCCCTTCAATCCCACGGAATTCCTCGCGTCGCTAGGGAACAGGCACCAGACGCTGGAGGACTTGCGCGGGGAGTTGCGCGCGCGCAGCAGGGACCTGGAGAGGGAGCTGGTGGAGCTCGTGAACCGGGATTACGCCGACTTTGTCGGGCTGGGGGGTAGTCTCCTGGGCGGGGATGGGCGGGTGGTGGATCTGAGGATGGGTCTGCTGGGCTTTCGCAGGGAGGTGGCGGCCATCATGGGGGCTGTGGAGGGGGTTAGGAGGGATGTGGAGGCTCAGGTTCGGAGGAGGAGGAGCGTTAGGAGTGAGAGGGTATGTCGCGTTATGTCAATTTCCTCTTTCCTACGATTCCATACCTATTTCGGTGGTTAAGGAAGGGGTGGTGATGGTGGTGGCTGATTCGTGCGTGGTAATTAGACATTGGCTAGAAACCTACTGACCTTATCTTACCGTCTCGATGAATTGTCGACGTTGCTGCTTATTCACCCCACCACCACCACCGCTGCCACTTCTACTACTCTAATCCCCATCCCAGATTTTGACCAGGAAGGACCAAGCACCGGCCATTCCTCAACACCCAGCATTCCCCGCCTGTCCAGGATCCTCCTGGGCTACCTGTTCGTTACGAGGAACCTGCTCCCGAGGCTACCGCAGCAGCACCCGTTCGTGAAGATACAGATTCCGAGGATCGAAGTGGTCCGCAGGACGCTCTTGTTGGATCTGGATAGCGCTCTCAGGGAGGCTAGGTCGGGCAAGGACTCGGAAAAGGTCCTCGTGTTGCTGGGATTTTACGCCGACTTGGGTGCCGAGGCGGAGGGCGTTCGTGCGCTCAAGGAGGGGGGGAAGATGGGGAAGTGATGGGGGCCCGATTGGTGATGGCTATGATAGTGGTTAGCGTGTTAATGTTTATTCGATCGAAACCAATTTGGAGCGGGAATGGATCGGTATTGGGGTACTTATTTTGGTGAAAAGGGTTAGTTATGTTTTGATGACGGGAATGCTGGCGTGGCGTTGGTACCATACTTGAATGATTAAAAGGCGACCTGGTGTACTCGGGATGGGAGAGTCATTGATGGGGGTTTTCTAGACTCGGGAAAACCAATAACGGCACCGTACTTAGCATCATAGAACGGCATAATCTTTCTTTCTCCTTTTATATATATATATATTTATTTATTTATAAACAATATCGTATTCATAACATATGGTGGAGGACGGAAAAAAAAATGCTATCTCAAGGGACCGCCTAGCCAAGACCGATTGCACTTCCGTATCCCTATCTCTATCACAGAATATCACTCACTCCTTAACTGCACGTATAAGGGTGGCAAGGGGGGAGTTACAGGGCTGAGGTCTTGTCAGTAATCTTCGACCCATGATCGTGCAGTTCCGGGAACTATATCAAATCCCATACGCTGCCATGGCCATGCCTGGGCCGCCTCGTAGCTGATGCGGGAAGAGATCCTTACCGAAAATATGGATGGGGAGGGGGCACGGGCGCGGCTGCGGTGTTATTTTTTGCTAGTGCCATATATGAGGGAAGGGGAGGGTCGCATAGAGTTGTAGGTGGAGTTTTTTTTTAGAGCTGGTAGTAGTTCGCTGGATTGGGTGGAAGGATCCCTTATGCACTGCACAGGACCGAGCGAGCGAGATTGTGAATGTTCGGGCGCGGAATTGACTTCCAAGGCGGTGCCGGCTGTCAGGTCGGAGGAAATAGTTCTCTCTCTCAAAAGGGTCCCATCGCTGGCAATGGCAGTGGGGTAGGAGAGATGTCGGTAAGGATTACTATTGTGAAATAGAGAATCATATAGTGACTCACCCACCAGCACCATTGCCGGTATTCGATAGGGCTTCGCACCTTTTTCCATGTTATCCTGATTATTCGTGCCTTATGCGGGACTCGTACCGTATAGTCCTGTGGGGTGGCGGACCAAGTTAGCAAAGCTAACCCCCAATCTCGTAAAGTAAGCAATGTGGTGTGAGGGAAAGTTTAGAGAAATGTCAGGTTAACAATACGTTTTTTGGCAAAAAAACCGACTATCAGAGGCAGCCATATCACATTAACGATATGTGTGTGTGTGCAAGTGCAGTTCTGTATTATTACATATAGATTGTTGGATGCCGCCAAGGGCCAATCGGCCGTGGAGTGCAGTATATGGATTGTTTATGTTCCGGTCTTGCTCGGGCGACGGTACACAGTATCGGCACGGCTGTGAACGGCATCTCTATCCTGCCAGGTGGACAGGATACTGGGTGGGTCATACTCACTAACTCTTATGTATGGTAAGAGCCTATCATGTGCTGTGGGTACAATAATTGCACGAGTATCGTACTCAAGCACAGCAAGAATCTTTTCCAGCAGCAGCAGCCCGACGAACGAACTTATCCTAATTTATAGAAGGAACCCAACCAGTAAGGGCATCGTGTGTAAGTGCGTTTGTGCCAGGTCGGCATGGGAGCTTAACTTACTTTCTCCTAAGACCGTGGAGAAGGTCTATCAGGACACGGACAGGCAGCCAATATAACACAAACATTTCTCGACCAGGGGTAAGATGAGGAAGACTAGCGGAAAGAATGGAAATTGGTGGAGAAGGAGGGGAAACCTGATTTTGGTCTTGAGGATCGGCAGGAAGACAAGATTCCCGCTTTGCCGCCGATCTCCATAACTTGATTCATGGAGGAGTGGAGAGCAAAGAGAAGAAGGGAGGGGCCGAGGTGTCTCATCCTCTGCGAGTAGACTGGGGATATGTTCCTGGAGTCGGACTAGTCCCCCTCGATGCCTCCAATGACCACCGTGATTATCCAAAGCCCGCCGTAAACGCTGCGTGGTACTTCTAAAAATTGAGAGGGGGGAAAGGAGAGACTGCCTACTCGTATAGTACAGCTATAAAGAGCTGCTACGACTCAATTGTGGTGTACCAGCTAATGCGGTGATTCGACAGTATTTTTTTCTGGGGGGTGAATATTTGTGAAGGGGGCAAGGGGATGAGAAAAAAGAATATTCCACTATACTTGCCCTCAACCTCTCTAAAACAAATCGTCACGCTAATGCAGGCAGAGACCGACAGACACCGCGGTCCCTTGATGTCAATCGCGCGTAAATCCCTTGTATGAACACTCTTTGACTTAGCTAGTGATTCTCAGAATTTTTCTCGATGGTGTCTTGAAAGGATTTGAAAGCCTGCCCTAAAGATCTGCAGCCTTTGCAACGGAGAAAAAGAAAGTAAACCGTAGTCCGCCCTTCGAGAATCTCGATCGAACCGCTGGGAAGACGCTTGGAATATAGAGGGGAGGACTCAGGTGTGACCATGTGATGTACTGTACCGTATATGGGGAAAGAATGTATTTCCCGCACATGGAAGGTTCGCGAGTCATTACCAATTCAGGACTGGCCGATCGAGGGGAGGATGTGTCCCTGGTATTCATTGCATGTCTCGAAGAAGCAAAAAAAAAGAGGAGACCAGGCAGGATAGGTACTATCCATGCATCGCAGATTTGAGGGATCACAAAACTAAGCACAAAGGGATTGAAGGAATAAGATGAGAGGCCAAATTCAGTGCATAATTCCGAGCATCGATATTTTGCCCAGCGAGAGACCGTGATGCAACAGCGAGTCAATTCTTGTATCATAGCGAGAGGACTAATAGCAAAAATGAAGAGAGGAGACTCGGTAGAGAACAAATTGTTTCCCCCACGAAAATCCACACAACTAGACCCACATCCACCCATGATTCGCCGTTCCACAACTACCTCCCTATCAACTGCATCCCAAAGCTCCAAATAGACGAGAATGCTACATCATTCATGCAAAGCGTAACGAGGTGTAACAGCTAGTGTGGGTCTTTGCACTCTGCACATGATCCAGGGATTATCACGAACTGTTCGTGAGGGCCTCGTTCGCAGCTGTTGCCGGTCCCAGATACTTTATCAGCGTAATGTCTTCTGCGGTCCCGGCAATCCACGTAGACGAAATAGGTGACGATAAGTAAGCACATAGTTGATGAGTGTGCGTAGGGGGATATGATATTTGGATCTTCTAGGAAATGATCGAGTTAGAACTATGCAGATACCAAATTACCTAGTAGCTGCCATTCTAGCAAAGGTGAGGTACCTGTCAGCCTTGTTCTGAGTCTCGTCTGCAGTTGTCTCTTGGATTTGACGGATGCTCTGCGGAGGAACACTGGTGTTGAGGGCGAGCATCGGGTTTGCTACAAGAAGCCCTCCCTTTATAATCACTAGATACCATACAATAATGTGGGCAGGGAGATTGGGCTGATGCCCATGCTCACGCCCATGATACAGTCATTTAGAGACATAAACTGCCGGATGGCATCAGGTTTGATATCGAGCTGAGAGTTTGGACAGAGCCTTGCTCCCTGAGGGCTTGAGCTCGATATCAGCTTCGGGATTGGCGGGAGAGCTCGCCCGGAAACTTGAAGACATATGATAGAAGCCTCGATGCATGGGCTGGCTCATCCTTCCTTGAGTTTTGGGGCTTAATACACTTAGCGGCAGGCTCGGGATGCAAGTCGCTGGGACGGAGCTCGTACATCCCCCAAAACGGGACCAGCATTTAATCATCGGTTCCGCTTTGCCATTCCACTGGGCCACACTGCCCCCTGACAGACAGAAACAAGACCCACAACGTGGGGAGCTGGCTTTGCGGCAGCAAATCGATATGGGGGGGACAAACATAGCCCGGAACGAATCATAAACGGCGATTTCGGTCGCGATCTGTGGCCCCTTTCTCAGCGGCACTGGAAGGATGATCCAGAAGAAAGGTAGGTGGCAGATCTTATTCACGCATTATGCGAAAAGAAAGAAGCGAAATGTGATCCCACCGTCTGCAAAACCGTTAGACTAGCTGCTGCAAGAGCCAGCAAAATGCGTACCAAACCCCCGACTGCCGTTCTGTGTGGGGACACAACCAAGCCCGAGGAGCTGACAAGAGGAACGTTCTAGCTTTCAGAGATTTCTCAATGAGGCTGCGAGAAAAGACACCCATGGGGATTTTCTGTTACATAAGGAAATGAGAAAGATTATGGGCGGAAAGCTCTCTCCTCTTCTATCTGCTCGAGCCTTCGGAAGCAGGTCCCCCTGTTGAAAGTGGTCGGAAATCGACTTGAGGCATTCCGTGAATGTGGTTGCATTTTCCCTCTTACACCCCGGTATTTCTCCGTTTGCCTGGCCCTTCCCCAGGCCCCAACTGTCCGTTCCTGGTCCTGACAGGCAAGCAGACTAATTGCCAAGTTGGTGCTCGAGTCGGTTGGCTTCGCGGGTGGTGTGCTTTCCCGAGGCCTAGTCCCGGGTGCATATTTTTTTTCTCTCGATAGCTGCGGATAAAACCCGGAGCTCGGGGGAAAGAGGGGACCCCGGATGGCATTGCCGCTCAGGAGCAAGTGCAAAAACAGCCGACACCGAGGCAACCGATGAGCCTAGAGGCACGATGTACGTGAATATAAAGATGACTCTGATGAGTGGAGAGACGAATGATGTTTGATGAACAGAATGGGGTGCGACGCTGACATGCACACAATATTTCGGGGATGCATGGAAGGGAAGAAGGGTGAGGGGTAACACAAGCAGGTTCGGAAATATTTTCTTTTATCATAGGACCTGGGCTGAAATGTACCCTTGCCCAGGGATCAAGACGGAACCAATACTCGGATGCATAAAAGTGCATAAAAAAGAGATGAAGGAGGAAAAAGGAAGGTCAGGACTGGCTGTACAGAAGGTGGACAATGGAGTGAACACGATGAGCACAATCTAACAATCCGGAGGTTGGGAACAATCGATGTGTGGCTCGAAAATGGAGGTTGAATCAGCCAGTAAAGCGGGCGCTTACTCGATTTCGAGTGGCTGGCCCCTGCAAGGGGCCAAACTGATTCCGGTCACCACGACAACCAGGTTGCCCAAACGATCCAACCCCCTAACTTATCCGCAAGTAGAAATCCGACAAGCGAAGGATAATACCCGTAGGGCACTGAGAGAGAGCTGAGACCGAGCGCGCGAGAACCGATATCTGGTTGGATGGGAGTGAGGAGAGAGATAGAGAGAGGTAGAGAGAGAGAAAGGGAAGAGGAAAAAAATAGATCCCACGATAGCCAACCTTTTTCCCTTCGGACCATACTTATACCATCGCTTCCCCTCTCTTCCGCCTGCTCCTGTCGCTTTCTTGCGCCTGCCATTTTCATCGCGAACTCGCCTCACCTTGGCGCAGGCGACACAGACTTTGCCTAGTTGAGTAACCCCCTGACCTTTTCCCTTCCTCCTCCTCCCCTCCTCCACTCCTCTGCCGTCCGCTCCTTTAACTCCCACCGCAAACCACCCTCCTCTTCCTCCCTTTGTCTTCCGACGACGACGACGACGACGAGCAGCGATCATGTCTTTCGGGAGCTTCCAGTCGATATGCGAGACCGCGGCTATACCACTGTGCTCGCTGGTGGGACCCTACGGCTCGTCGAAGGCGATGGGACCGGGTATAGTGGCGCTGTGCTACTCGCGAAGCATTGAGTGGGCAAACACAATCATTTTCCAGCTCGCTAATGACTTTGTTCATATCCTCGCGCTGGTTATGTGTTCGATAATGGTTCTTCACGTACGGTCGAAGTTCACTGCTGTCGGTTTGTGATTCCTTCCTTCGTTTTTTTTGTTCCTGTTGTTCCCTGGGCTCCCATCACTGGCCGCCCCCCCCCCCTTTTGGTGGTCATTTTATCCGCTATTGTGGAAAGAGTTGAGGCTAAAATCGATTGGCCATCGTGACCCAGGTCGGAAGGAGATCACTTCGTTCTTTTACTTGTTCATGCTTCTCACTGTCATTTCCCTATGCCTCGATTCCGGTGTCATACCCATCGGGTCGGCTCCGTACGCATACTTCGTTGCTGTCCAAGCCGGCCTGACATCAGCCCTATGCACCTGTCTTCTCATCAACGGTTTTATCGGGTTTCAAGTTTACGAAGACGGCACCGCGCTATCAGTATGGCTCCTGCGACTCTCGACGGTGGTAATGTTCATCGTGACCGGTGGCGTCGCGATCTGTACGTTCCAAAGTTGGATCGGACTAGGCCCCACGAAGACCATGGCACTCTTCATCGTCCTCTACGTTGTCAATGCTCTTTTCCTGTTTGTCTACGTCGCCTGCCAGGTCATTTTGGTCATGGGGACCCTGGAGGATAGATGGCCGTTGGGTGACATCGTCTTTGGCGTCTTCTTCTTCGTCGTTGGACAGGTACTTTTGTACGCTTTCAGCGATAAGCTCTGCGATAAAGTTTATCACTACCTTGATGGATTATTCTTCTCCTCTATCTGCAACCTTCTTGGTGTCATGATGGTCTACAAGGTAAGGCTTCGAATCCCTCCGCCGTTTCCAACAGGAACTAACGAGAAAACAGTACTGGGACTCGATCACAAAAGAAGACCTCGAATTCTCCGTCGGCACAAAAACCAACGTGTGGGAAGTCAAGGAGTTGATCCCGGAGGAAGACCGGCGCGCAACGGTCTACGAACACACTGGCCCCACTAGCGATTACGCAACAAGCACATATCACAACTCGAACGGGGGCCGCGTGAGTCAGGGATACGGTGGGTTCTCTGATCGATACTAGTCCCCCCCCCTTCTCTCTTCCTCGCTGCATCCTTTCATTGAAAATCTTGGGTTTTTTTGTGCTCTTTTTTTTTCTTTCCCGTTTGCACTAGGGGCGTAAATGGCGTATAGATTTGCTTTTTTTCTTATTTTTGTTCAACTTTTTTTCCTTCACTTCCTCGGTGGGGGCTCAGGCTGCTATCGTGATTTACATAGCCATTCCTCCTTTTATTTTCTTCTCCCTCAATCATCAGGGGTTGTTTTTATTCTACCAAAGATGAGAAAGACGGGCGGACGGAAGAGCAAACGTAATATGCCACTTGGCGGTTTTAGATGTGGGATGTTTTCTATTCTCTTGGTGATTTTGTCCGCTTTCTTTTCTTGTCTCTTCCTCATCATTGTCTCCTGTATTGTAAGTTAGTTCAGGCTGGAGGAGGGAGGGGGGTCGTTGTATACCCTATCGCATTTCGCATTTACTCTTATTCACGTTCATACAATACCCACCATATCCCGCTTTATCCTAGCCCCAGCATTTATCTTCTCTCGCCTGCCCTTTTCCCCCTTTCCCCCTTTCCCCCCCAAACACCACACGGTACCAAAACTGTGCCAGCACCGCAAGTCAACGTCATCATATGATACACTTTTTCTCTTGCCCTTCCCCTTCCCTCTACCTCCACCAGCCTTGTCGGTTAATTCGGATTCATTTATTACTATCTCGTGTACCTATCCCGCTCAACATGAGCGCTTGTACTGCTAATTCATGCGTTGCACTCTTAAGTCGTAGAAGCATATACTACATTACATTACACTGCGGTACGTCTACTCGTACGCTACCGTTCTTTGTTCGTTGACGCAGTTTCCATCTCGCACGTGAGGTGGTGTCGATTGGACTCCGGATGTGAAGCAACTCGGGGATTGTTAATGGATGAATATACGGGCAGTATTATTGCACAAGTATCAGTAGTAGTACGTGCATAAGCCGTCACTCGACCGTGGCAGTGCTGGCGGGTGAGGCGGTACGTAGCAGGATAAATATGGTCGTTGGGAGGAGTTGGGGGGGAAGAGGAGAGGAGCGGCTTGGGTGGGGGTTTACATGCTCAAGTTGGATGTTATAGGTAGGTATTTATAGTTTGTGTGCAAGACTGTGCTGTACCGACACCGGTACCGGTACGTGTGGTACTTTTTGGTGTGTGTTGCTGGAGGCGATAGGGTGCATGTAAGGGTGCATGCATTTGTGGTAGTCACGATCGTGATGCTTTGGACTATCGTGTATTATAAAATGCTTTGCCCTCCTGTTGTGTAAGGGTGTAACAACACGCCGGCGCACCGTAGTGCTGTTTCATGGCCAGTGTACGAGTACTACTGTGCATCTGGACTTATGATGCCTTCAACATCCGAACTGCAGGTTCTCAAGGAAAAGCCTCGCTAGCACAGCCAGCGCCCAATGCATGGATAGATTACCGAATACACCAAGAACTAGCGTGGATCAAGGGAATATCGAACGAGAGAAGGAAACAAAGAGAGGGGAAGAAGGAAAAAAAAAAAAAAAAAAAAGTAAAGGCGGAAAAGAAACTTTAGAAATAACTTGGAAAACGCCACTACCCAAATATTCCCCTATTGGTAAAATATCGCCCTCCTTGAGGGAAGTGGAGAGAAGAAAAAAAGGTCATGCCCAGCCTACGCTTGACCAAGATATCGTGTCTTCGTTGCTTTTTTTTTTGTGTGTTATCGTTCTTATACAGCCGAGGGAAGAGAGTACCGTAGGGCTTAATGCTTCTTCTTGCCCAACACTCCCCCAAGGAGAGCACCCTATAACGCCGCTCCCATTAGCCTTCATTCGCCCCTGCAAGACGACCCCCTAGGAAGGAATTAACTCACCCCGACAGCGCCTCCAAGCGTGCCAACCCCAAGCTTCTTACCGATAAAGGCTCCCGCAGCGCCTCCAGCAAGCGTGCTTCCGATCCCCCTCTCACCAGGTGCTCCAGGTGCTCCAGGTGCTCCACTTCCATCAGCGTACGCTCCAGGGCCTGCATACTGCCCTCCGTGTTGGCCACCGTACGGGTCCGCTCCTGCACCGTACCCATGCTGCTGCTGTTGATTTTGATATTCTGCTCCCGCACCTCCATACCCAGCCGTCGGTTGTCCGTAAGAGCCTGCAGCGCCACGATCTTGCTGCTGCTGCTGCTGGTAGTAATCGGCTGCTCCGGATTGCGGCGGCGGGTAGTACCCGCCCTGGGAAGGGTTCTGATATTGTGGTTGCACGTAGCCTTGATTCGGGGCGCCAGCATATGGGGGGGGTGCACCATAAGCACCTTGCGGCGGGCCCGTGGGATATTGCTGAGGCGGGTATGGGGATTGTTGCTGCTGAGCGTAGGGATCTTGCGGATAAGGTTTGCCCTCCTGAGGGGGGTAGGCACCTGGGGTGCCTGCTTGTTGGGCTTGCGGAGCGCCACCAGGGGCAAACCCACTGTGTTGCTGCTGTTGCTGCTGTTGCGGCGGGTAGTAACCACCCTGGTGCGGGGGTTGAGAACCATAGTACCCGCTTTCAGACATTATCAAAAGTTTGCTATGGGAAGCTTGTTTTATTTGGGAGGGAACAAGGGACCGAGGGGTCTAGCCTGGGAGGGGTGCTCTGTCGGACGATAGGGAAGCACGGGAGATGCGGGGTAATTGCCCGAACAAAAAAGAAACGGCTCAAGAAGAGGGGGAAACAGTCCGGTGGGGTGATCGAGATTTTGTGCCAGAAAGGTGGGAATTAGTGGGGAGGGATAAGAAAGAGGGGGGAGGAGAAAGATTTATATAGCCAAACGCCCCTCAAGTTATGGGAGGAAACGGACTGCGGGGGGCAAATGAGGGCGGGCGGGACTCGATGTAAAGTGGAAGAGAGGGGAGATGAGGGGAGGCGGAGTTCAAATACTAAATAGCAGTGGCACGGAAGCGCCGAACAGCCGAGTGGCAGGGAGGCAGTTGGTCGCGGTGGGACGGCGATATTATAGGACGGGCACGGTATGAGCTGTTAAACAAAGGAGCAGCCAGCGCAACACACGGAGATTTTTCTAAATGATCAAAAGCTCACACGGCACAGTAGCGGTCCTGCAACGAACCGGACCCCTATTTCTTCTTCTCCTCCTCCTTCTTCTCTGTCCTCTCCCCTTCGCCCCCCTCCCTCTTCAAGCGGCTGCCGGAGCCGGAAGACGAGATATCGTATCAGGGATTACCAAGATACGGCATGGCTTTCCAGGACTTCCATCCCGTTCCTACAGATACGGTAATACCCAGTCCTGCCTGCGAGTACAGTACTGCACAGTACGGTAACGTGCCGTGATGGGCAACTTGGAAGATTCCTCCCCACGCGGCATTCTAGTTCGCCGTGGCCTTCCCAGGTCTGATGAACTGCCATGCTCGCACGACACGGCATCGATGCTTATCGCTACACCGCAGCTCCATGACTCAGCACCCTCTTGTGCAACTATCATACTTTTTTTTCCCCCTCCTTTTTCCCCTCCCCCTTTCTTTTTTCATGTTGGGACGGCGGGTGGGGAAAAGGTCAGCAAATGCACTCTGCTCCATGGAATGTGTTGCCAGGGGCCCGGGGACACTATTGGCCAACACCATGAAGCAGCCCAATGCAATTTCCCGTGTTTCGCTCGCTATTGAAATACGGTACTAAAAAACCGTCTTCCCCAATCCCGAAAACCCAACCCACCGTGGTCTACTCGTACCGTACTCTGACGGGGCTATAGCACGGACCAGGGTGCTATAATATCTGGGTGTGGAAGCCCAAATGCCGGTACCTGTACCGGTACTGTACGGTGTGCACCTGACACTGAACACCTGTAGTCCCAACCAGCTACCAGAACCATCCCCACAGCACAACCCGTACCATATCTTTCCCATGGTCTATGGTATAAGTGGGCACCAAACCGCCGCTCCAAGACCCACCGTGCTCGTACGATACCTGCTCGGGCACACAAATTAAATACCGTGCCTCACAATGGTAACTCGAAGTCACACCTAACCTTCGGCTTGAGAATTTATGCAACCCTCCATTATCTGTACAGTACATGCAGCATGCTCCGGATCAGTGCGATGAAGAACTCAGCACCGAGGTTCCGCATTCTTCCACCATAGGCTAAGGTAAAGCGATGGATCTGCCGGATACCGTGGGAACTTGGACTACGGTATCTGGTTTCCTCGCATTTGGCATAGATATCTGCATACCCGCCCGCCTAGCGTACACAAGTAAACATTATGGCATCGTGGAGGGTATTAACGCGAGTGCTTTATGTTAGCTTTATGCTACGGGTACTGTGGATCAGTGTGGGATGGGACTGTACGGCGGCACTTGTGCACTAAAGTAACGGTGAAATTGAATACCTGCCAGTACTCGAGTGCTTGTCCCAGGCCACAACTGCCTGGAAACGGAGGGTATATAATACAAGGATATTTTGCATGGGCACTCGGATACTCACAGATATTTTACCATACATTTCTTTAGTCCCTGTTTTCGGGTTCTTGTAGCCCAGAACAAGTACCAGAACCATATCAAACGTCCCCCGTGCGAGCGTGTCGTGGAGCGAATCGCTTGGTCATGATCCGCACTGGGCTTCCCGTGCCTTTATACTGTACTTGTATCATGCATTGAATCACAGTGAGAGCGAGAACCTCAACTAAACCCCACTAATTTTGTCCTTGGCGAGCTACCGCCTACGGCAACTGCCAGTTCGGTACCCTACACCCCGGAGACACTAGGGGAGAAGCGAATAAAAGGACCCTCCCCCCATCGAGTAGTCTACATTCTCGGAGGGGGGCGCAAACTCCCCACATCTTCCCTTGCTGAACCCAGTCGATCAGCCTCCCCTAACGTTGGCGCTCCTGTGGCCGTGCAGGTCTGCTCGGCAAGAAGAGCGAATGACCCTGAAGGCCACTCCTGACAGGCCCACCTCGAGACATACTTCCCCTCGCTGAGAAGCTGGTGCCAGTTACCCCTCTGATGCCGCGGTGCCCCCGCTCTCTACCGCCATTACTGAGAGTCCTTGGGTCAAATACCCAGTCAGGTAGGTCCGGGGTTTGGGTGGGTTCATCATATGCCTCAGAGACGCTACCCTCGGGAGCCCTATTTCCTTCCTGAGCGTAGTCCTCATCCAACCCAAGCACCAAGGCACCGGAATGCCATCCAGCAGCCGCGATATTAAAGGCGTAATACTTTGTTTTATCCTCGCCTTCAATGCTTGCTGCACCTGTTGTTTAGCACTGGTAAGAGTTACATGCCGCAGAAAAGAAAGCCCCATACCTTGCCCTGGGGGCCGGAAAGAAACCACTTCGGGTTCGGTAACTTCCAAGTCGGCAAACCCCCGTCCGCCCATTCCCGGCAACCGATCTCCAAGACCCAGGGAGCCGCACATCTGGCTCTCAGTACCCCACGAGAGAATCCTCCCCTCGTCTGTGAGCGCTAGCCCATGATAGTCGCCAAATGCTATATCAACGATTTTGTAGCCAGTAAAATCAGGTCTCCCGATGGGCTTTATCCCTTCGGCTTTGCCCTTAACGTTGTTGCTCACAATATCAACGTCTCCCACACGCACCACCCCCTCTTTATTGAACACCGCAAACCTGCGAAAATTGCCCGAGATGCGGTTCACAGGCGACTGTCCTTCCGGTGAGGAGAAGTGCACGAGCTCAACAGGCGCCTCCTGATCGAATCCACGCATTGCAAAGACCTTTCCAGTAATCGTGAGGAAAACCAAGTACCCCTCCCCTAGAACAAAGTCTATAATCTCTCCAATGCTCCCATGTTTTCGGACTTTTGCTAAAGCCTCTGCTGGAATACCCTTTGGAGGCTTTTCTAGGTAGTCGGTGCCATTTATAATTCTCATACTGGGCCTGTAGCACATTGCATCCGCCTCACCGAGGTCTGATGGTTCCCAGACCACGATCCCAATACCGGATATCAGTGCAGCACAGCAGTCCCACCCCCCAACAACCTTTTTGGCCCACCCTATATCTTCTGCAACCTTTCCGATCTTGTCGGGTGTCAGATACCCGGGATCGGAATCATTAACCGTAACACAGAAGTCCACGCGCTGTACTCCTTGTGTCTTGTTTACGCAAGTGTATACACGCCCCTTGTTGGACAGTGCAATGAGGTGGCCACGCCCGGAAGAGAGTTGAAAAATCGGTTCTGGGAATTTGATCTCGGCAGTGGAGTCTGGCTCACGGCCCAGACAACCAGAGACATAGACATGCCCATCCGAGGTGAGGAAGCTCGTGCTCCAACCTCTATTGTCAGATCTTAGTGCGACCGTCCCCATGCCTGTTAAGTGAAATATGGAGAAATACCCACCCGGCGACTATGTCCACCACAAACTTGCTCCTTAACCTCAGTATCTCGAAAGGCACTGCTACCGAATACGGGGACCGCATGTAATGCCTCGGTGGTGACCGATCATGTCCAAGTTTTCCATCGGTATCCTGGCCCCACGTGTACACGTGGGCCTTAGCCATACCCCGGAAGAGATGCTGCCAAGGAACCTTATTGATAAGGCTATCGACGTGAGGAGTCTTGAAGACCCTCCGGGCCTCGCGTTTCCAGTAGCCGGTCTCTTCGTCGTACAGAGTGTTGTAGAAACCTTTCTGAGGAGTTTTCAGTTCGAGGCACGTGCATAACAAGAGGGAGGATGAACGATACCGACGTCCCCGCGAGGCTAACGGCTCCCTTGTACCCAACATAATCGAGGATACGATCCAGGATCTCGCTGGCTAAAGGTTGTAGTTCAGCATCTTGTCATGGTCAAAAGCTACAGGAGGAAGACCCACGGAGATCTCCCAAGTTCAAAGGTCCGGAAGGCATGGTAGGTAAAGTTGGCGGGAAGCAATGCAGGATGTTTTTGTACTTGGGGTGGCGGGTTCGTGGGTGGTAAAGCTGGGCGAGGTTGTATGATATTATAGATCAGCGGTGTGCGTGTGGATGGTGAGCTTGGGGTTGAGGGGTTGAAGGGTTGGACTTCGAAAAAGGGGGGGTATGGTAACCCTGTGCTCCGAGTCGGGGGAGGGCAGAAGCCTTGTTAAATGCTGTATCATAGGATGCTCTGTCGTAACCTGTGATACCACAGGACTTTGTGTGTGATATGATGACGTATGATACAAACTTTTCGAGATCTGGGCGTTGGGCTAGAATTGTCTTGCCATAGTATGATACGGTAATCGGAGAGATTAACTTCAAAAAACAGCACTTTCTAACTTGGAGATCAATGGTGATAACTTGGGGTTGATAATCCTCGTAAACCGAATCACGTACCGGTACAAGTGCGTGGTTCGGCTGCTCGAAGGATTCCCATACAAAGTTCCCAGTTTCAATCCGGCCGTTCAAGTATATCCGAGTGCCGGGAATACCGGTGTCATGCCATATCATACCAAAACTGGCATACGGCATACCGGTACTGTACCCGAACAGACAGCCCTCTCTTTCACGATGGCGGTGGGGGGGCAAATCGTTGGAATGCTGTATTATACCTGTACTGTACTCGTACGGGTACAGTGTACTCGAGTACGAAACGGCAGTACCGTACCGTATCCTCATTGCCATACCGAGCATGATTTCCTAATCCAACCCCCCCAGAGCCCCAGACAATTATCTTGGCAATCCGGCCTGAGCCTCTGAAGCTCTGCATCCACAAACACACTCACTCACCTCCAAGCTGTTTACAATGGGAAAAGGTACCTCTCCTCCTCGCCCTCCAACCACTCCCTATCTTGATCTCTAGCTGACGGCAAAGAAAACTCCCACAGGAACCGACAAACTCTACATAACCCACAGTGAATGGAGCGGTCCGGACACCTTTGGTGCATCCACCGGCTACACCGCTAAAGCCGCAAATCTCCCCTTCAAGCGGCTCCCCTACAACTTCTGCGCCGTCTCGCTCCAACCCTTCACGCACCCCGTGTGCACCCCCGACGGCACCATCTTCGACCTGACCAACATAATCCCGTGGCTGAAGAAGCACGGCACGAACCCGGTCACAGGTGCGCCACTCTCGCACAAGGACCTGTTGAAGCTGCACGTGGCCAAGAATGAGGACGGGGAGTACTGTGACCCCGTAACCTTCAAGGTGTTCACGGACAATACGCACATCGTCGCCATCCGGACGAGCGGGAACGTGTTTTCGTGGGATACGATTGAGAGATTGAACGTTAAGCCGAAGCATTGGCGGGATTTGGTTGGCGATGAGGAGTTCACGCGGAAGGATGTCATCACCCTGCAGGACCCGCAGAATCTGGAGTCGAGGGATATGAGTGGGTTCAAGTACTTGAAGGACGGGACGTCAACGTTGACGGAGGAGCAGGCGGCCGAGCGCGCGGATCCGCTCAGCGGAATAAACGTCTCGGCGATGGGCTCGGGTGCGAAGATCCTCGCGGCAAAAGCCGCCGTGGCGAAGGCTCGCGCAGCCAAGTCCTCTGATCCGAACCACAACCCATCCCGTCCCGGTGGGAGAGCCCCCGGGGCACTATCCCACGATGGGCCATCATCGTCGTCCGCCGGTGGGAGCAACAGCGCCGCGAAGAGCGTGCCATACAACGCTGCAAGACATACCACTGGGAGGGCTGCCGCTTCCTTAACTTCCACCTCCCTAACCCCGCATACAGGCGCTGAACGCGCACTGCTTTCGGACGAGGAGTACATGCTCAAGCCGAAACGCATCAAGATCAAAGGCTACGCGCGTATCTCCACGAACCTGGGCAACCTAAACATAGAACTCCACACAGACTACGCCCCCAAAGCAGTCTACAACTTTGTCAAACTGGCGCAGAAGGGATACTATAAGGGCGTGTGCTTTCACCGCAACATCCGAAACTTCATGGTACTCCCTTTCCCCAGAAGCCAGCACGCACCACTGCTAACAACCAACCAGATCCAAGGCGGCGACCCGACAGCAACCGGCCGCGGCGGGACCAGCCATTGGGGTAAGCCCTTCGACGATGAATTCGAATCCCCGCTCCTGCACGACGCCCGCGGAATCCTGTCCATGGCGAACAAAGGCAAGAACACCAACAGCTCGCAATTTTTCATCACGTACCGCGCCGCTAAACATCTCGACCGCAAACACACCATTTTCGGAAAGGTGGTTGGCGGACTGGACGTGCTGGATAAGATGGAGGTAGCACCCGTGGGCGATGGGGACGCTCCCATTAGAGATATCGTGATGAAGGAAGTGGTCGTGTTTGTGGACCCGTTCGATGAGTACTTGAAGAAGCGGGCGAGTGAGGAGGAGAAGGGGAGGAATGAGGAGGAGAGGAGGAGGTCGGGGCAAAATGAAGAGGATCTGACGACCTGGACAGGGAAGAGGTTGAGGGATATTGGGAGAGGGAGTGGAGGAGGCGCCGGGGAGGTGGGTAAGTATCTGAAGGCTGAGGCTAAGGTGGTGATGGGAGAGGGTGAAGGCGCCGGGGAGGTAGTGGAGGAGGAATACGCCTACGAGGAGCCCGTGAAAAAGAAGCCAAAAGCGAGAGGGGGGTTCGGCAATTTTGATAGCTGGTAATTGGGGATTATGTGCAGGGATAATTGCATTGTACAATACTCGAGGAGTCGCGGCGTCCATTCCCACTTGTATGATCATATAATATCACTCGACTAATGGGTGGATTACCGTATGCTCCGAGACGTTCCAGACAAGAACATTCAGCAAGTCCTTCGCGCGGGGGTTGGCCACCCCGCAAAAATTCGTGATAATCCCACAAGTATACCAAGCCGGCGTGAAACATCTCACCCAGCCGCAATCAATCGATCCCACAACCCCGCAAACCCCCCCCCCCTCACACAGAAACCTTTTACATAAACAACCCTCTTCGCACAAAGCCAACATAAACCCGCAAAAAGGGTCATCTCCCACCAAGCCAGTATGACACTATACTGTTCTATAATGGTGGGTGCCTCCAAAATGAACATATAAAAAAGAACGCAAAAACACTGGACAGGGTATAGAGCACTCCAACAAAAAATACATAAACCAAAAATTACCACTAGATATACAAGTACAAGGTACTCCATCCACAACTTTTAAATTCCCAAAAGCAGAAATTTTGCTAGGAGTCTGCAAGAAACCTTCTCACCAGGATAGGAATTAGGGTGTGAGGGGTTGTAAAACCAAAGAACTGTAAATAATGATACTAGGGCAATCACTGAAAAGGATACTATTATCATATAAAACATTGGTCAGCGTGGTCTAAGAGCTAGGAGTAATCACACAAGTTGATAACGGGAAACATTTACTGTATGTAATCTAATAACTGATAATATTTTGGTTTCTTATTGGCTGGGTTGTGATGATGGATCTTGGTGGAATGATCTTAATATCTATTTTGAGTATTGTATTGTATTGACTACTTCTTTTGGAACTTGTAGAGCAGTGTGGTGACGCACGGTCAATTACTTGTGATATCATAACACCCGTGTCTGTACCCGACCTTCCGCCGTCCAGGTGCTTTCGACCGTCGGCGGGGCATTGGCCGCTACGATACCATCATTATTGCACCACGCGGCATTACGAAAACCGATGAGAGGGATTTGGCTCGAGTGTTGCTAAAAGAGAGAGTAGATATCGTGTAAGTAAGAGAGTGCCGGTAGGAGGAGTTGCCATGTGGCTGGGATGAATCGAACACCGTACCGTGCCAGTCCCCGACGGAAATACAAAGATCAATTTCCGGGTATCGTAGATATTTACGTTACCGCACGAATATAGCGGTGACCGCCCTTGCTCATTGTGAGTGATTCCGTATGTGTACTGTAGCTCGGGGCTTTATTCGCTCTTCACAGGCGGAGTGTAGTACTGTACTTGTACTGTGCATCGTACAGCTTAGCACCGCGTGTCACTCGGTGATGGGGTCTTGCCAGAACGGTACGATGGACTGTCTATCATAGCTCGACATCATATTGTCGTGGTGATGAGCGGTATTCATAGATTCGCTACCGGTAATCGACACGTAACGCATCATTGGTCAGCTTCCCTTCCTTCCTTCTTTCCTTCCTTCCCCGGATCCATAATATCAAATCCTGCCATTGACAGGGCCGGAAGGCACACATCCTCCTCTCGCTCCCTGGAAACTCTCCGGAGGTCACGGTCAAGGTGAGTGGAATCTGCCCTGGAGATATAAATTGTGATTTCCTACGAGTGGCTGCATTGAAAAATCCCCCACTATTTTGCGACAAAGGTGTGTGGGCCACCGGTGCTTATTGGGGGGGCGCAGACTGTGGATGTCCAGCATCTATTAAGCGCTTCTTTTCCCTAGCTCTTATCAACAAGGAAGGAAGGAAGGAAGGAAGGGTCCTCTTGACTAACCCTTTGAGGTGACGGAGTGGGGCCTTTTTTTACACAAAGCTGACATGATTTACACAATATTTTCAACAAACCTACGGCGGGGGATCCGAAGGACCCGTGCGGGCTTGGGGAAGGGTGAGCTGGATCTGTGATTTCAAATTGAAATCGATGATTAAACACTACAGTACCATGGACACCGGGACACCAAAAGTGACAAATAATTGAATTCTCATCATTCTGCTGTCTCACCTCCCGTAAGTCATATTTTAATAGGTTTGACGTAAATAACGGCCAGCCATCCAAGTCCAAATGCTCTCCGCCTTAGTTTTATTTCTCCTCGACACTCCTAACCCCAACTTCGGCTCATTTTAAAAATGAACGGTGTGCATGTGTCGGACCATTCAATCCCCCACTATCCAGATAACTTTCGTCGTAGTCTGAGGTTTCCAGGAGTCTGACAAACTCCGCAAGTGTCTCGTAGAACCTCTCACTCCCAACTCTGTGCTGCGATGGAACGATATCGGCATGAGCATTCGTGACTGCGATAGCCGGCTTGTACTCTGAACGGGCTATCCCAGGCATTTTCAAAAATAGCAAGGGTTACTCACTAATTCCTGATACCCGCAGAGGCTCCAACCCGGGTGGCTTCATGAAGGTAGGATTGTCGTGTCTTCCCTCTAGAAGCTTATAGAGTATGGTGCCGAAAATGGCATCGCCCCCATGTACTCGTACTGTTATCGGTATAGTAGGGACTTTGCGAAAAGACTCTGGATGTGGGTCAAACAAGGTTCTGGTCCAATGAGATCGCTAGAATTTGACTCTGGATGCGAAATCGCAAAGTCTCTATTATCTCCTTCCCAAATAATTTTAGTGTCCGAGACATCGGTGGTTTTGAGCTTGTCACGCTAAAATGTGCTGATAAGCCGATTTCGTACTAGCCTGTACTCCCTCGATAAAACCTTCAACGTACTCGAGTACAGTACCAGTACTCGTACGGTGAGCAATTCATCCCGAACTTAAGCCCGGTGATCTCAACCTCGTGCTTCCCTTTCTGTGAGAGGAGCTCCTCTTCCTGAGAGGTGGGCTTATATTTGACTGCAAGGACTCGGGTTGCTTTACCTGCAAGGTTGAAACCACGATGATTACCAGCGAAAAGTTCAAGTTCCTCTCCCCGCAGTGCCTGTCGGGGGACATCTTTGGCGTCTTTGTTTTTCCCGTCTCCGATTTCGATCGGATAGCTGGTATCGCATCACACATACTGCTATCATCCTCGCTTTACCCTAACGAGGCCAAGCTCAGGGTCTTCATGTTAATCCCTGTGTTGCCCCCCGGACTCTCGGTTTCTTCTGACGTGAGTCGTGATCGTCGTACTCAGGCTCCGTTGTGTTAAATGGCTGGATCGACTTCATCGCTCGACAAGTAAGAGCGGGGAATCCGTCCTTCATATCATTTCTCAGCTCAAGTCACTTTAGCGCTCGCAGTCTCCCTACTTAATAATGTTCCAGAACATCTAGCCGCGCTCTGAATTCCCTTGTCAGCAACACGCGCCAACACGGATATAAGGAGATATTACTCGTTAAGCCAGTTTTTGCAATCATCACCTCTCTCTCTTCTTTCCTTCTGTCGCGTGAAAGAAGGCCGGAAAGGAAGATTCCAGTGCGGCACAAACCGGTATAGCCGAAGATAAGCGAGAAAGATCATCGCCCAGGATCCAGAGCGCATTGACGGCTCCTACCAACCGACACAACCAAGCCAGCAAATCGCAAACATGCTTAAGTTAAACCTTATCCAGCGAGTATTCAAGGCTGTTCCCAGAACCGGTTTTCACCTTTACAATTGCATGACATCAAGCCAGCTCTACTCGAGTATACTGCACAGCCCCCATACAGCCGTTCGGGCCATTAACCTGGGAACGGTAGGGTAAAACCGCCCCCAGCAGACACCGGGAGATGATGAAGAAGCCCTGTGAGGAGGAGGGGAAGTAGGTTCGGGGGTATTGAATTTGCTATCCCCCACCCATCTGCACCAAATCCATGGCTCGCTTAAACCCACTATTTGCCACAGGACGGGCCTTATTCCAGGAACCATGTGGACGGGTTCGCTGACAGTTTATTGACAATTTTCTGATAGAACTGTTAGTCTAATGGAATTGGGATGGTCAAAGGGGCACCGGGATCGACAGAAGAGACAAGGAGAGAAAGTATTGATGAAGGGCAGTGATATTGGAGCATGAACGTGGGAAGGGGAGAGACATGATACGGTAGATTAGCTTTTCCGCCTTATCTTCTCTACCATCGAAGCTTGCCCGGGCCATAAAGAACCTTGGAGAGCTTAATTCATAGTTCACGTTCCACCTCCCCATCCCGCAACCGTCCAATTCCAATTGAACCAGGCCCGAGAACCAAGTCGGTGTACTGTGGCTTGTGTCTGGGTAGTTATTCATTAAATTATCGGTCGATCGCGCCATCAGTGGTACAGTACAAGTACAGTACTAGGATATCCCATCGCCTATCCTACAAACCAATCACTGACCCATAAACGTGGGCTCACGGTACGATATAGCAAGAAGGTTAGTTGGTTCAAAGCATCCGCACTGGGAGGTAATAGCTGCCTCTGGGCAGCTCGACATCTATCGTAGAATTCCATCACCCATGAGTACTCAAGTTATTGAAACTCAAGAGATAATCCACAAGTACCAATGTTTCTTTCCGCGAGGCGCACCATGGATTCAGCCACCCCCTAAGTCCGGCATTACAGTGAATTGTTAACAGATCTACGAATTCCCTCTTGTTGGAACTTGCCGTTGGTACTCCTGGTCGAGTTCCTCCCGCATCGAATTGTGGACGATTTGACACTCGTCCGCCAGGTTGTGAGCGGCATGTATGTACCAGGCCGTGCCCAGCGGCTGCCTTCCGGGTTATGGTGTACCCAGAGCCCCGGGAGGATGTGGCTATCTGCCCAAGGGAACTGAAAAAAGGAACCCAACACGCTCCAAAGGGGCCTCCAAGGTGCCACTTTTGGACCCCACTGTAAAATATCACCTGCCAATTCACTTCTATGCACTAAAAATGCAGGAAACTGGCGCCCACTCCAGAAAACCCTCTTTAGTAAACTCCATGAAAATCGCTCACGATGCCAGGGTATCTCTCTAATCATAAATTAAACTTGTCGGCCGCCTCCTAAGCTGTCTTTCTCCATTCATTCTGCAATCCAATAACCGCGGCAACACTTCCACAAGTCGCGATAGCCTCAGGACTGATTGTCCCCCCTTCGACCGAATAATGGACCTGAACGAACCCTGGATCAGCTTCCGACCGAAGGGACTAACTCACGGAAGTGGGGGCATACCGTCAAAGGCGCATAGGCACAATTGCTCAAGAGCGCTCTCTCCCAACCCTTCCCCCTCCTACCTCCACCAAATAATCTAACAAACTCCAACGCAACATGGGCCATCCAGAATCTAGAGCTCCACAGCCACAATTGCCCCTCGGTTTTCTTGCGGATCCTGACAATCCCATGGGAAGACAAGTACGCCACGTTCTCGCAGATCTGGAAACAAGTATTGGCGAAAACCTGGGCAATCTCAATGGGTGAGGGGCGTGAGGCGGACAGAGTCGAGAGACCCCAGGTGTAGATGCCGACGAGACCCCAGAGACGCATGAACATACGGATATCGGAGATTAGAGAGGTGAGCTTCGGAATGTTGATGCGAGCGGAGCGGGTAGACGAGAGGGCGGACGGAGGAAGGAGGGCAAGGGTGTATTGAGTGGTCATGAGAACTTTGTCAATACCGGAGGGATTAGAGAGGAGGCTGCAAGATTATTAGCATTTCTTTCTCACTATTCTCCCCTCTAACTTTTTTCTTGCCATCGGAGATGACAGATAATGGAAAGAAGAGTAAATGTTGTTTGGATCGGATTGGATACCGATTCAAGCGAACCATGAGTTCGTTAAACTTGTGCATAGTGTCGTTCTTGGGCGCCATGTTGAATGTGAGCTTCCTTAAGAGTGCTGTTCAGGGCAACGTCTGAGGCAAGAGCTAGCGCATGGAAATGGGAAAAGGGAAGTCAATGGGGGGGAGCAAAAGGAAGTTGGAAGGGAGAGCGAAAGATCAGATCACTAAGTTCCTCATAGGGTTTACGGTACTGACGGCCAGACACCCACGCCCTGCAGGAGGCAATACACCCGCTCTTGCTCCCTATCGGTAGCTTATCTTTGCCTAGCCCATGCAGCGTTGCATAGACTATGATGCCAGCTTCCCTTTGCTTGTGAAGCTCCCTTCAATTCAAGTCAAGCCCGGACCCCACCCGAGGACAAGCATGCCAGAGTGGGAATTTGCGGGCCGAGCTTGAGTATCTCGTCACGTGGGCTGAGCCTCAACCCGCTCCAAACTGGTATGATACTGTACTCGAGTACTCGAGTATATTATACCTAACGTCGTTGGATACGGGAAGCACTCGTGTTGGAGTGCAGCTTCACGGGTCTCAAGTAACCCGTGGGAAATCTGGCCAGTCGTGCGTGTTGAACGACTATCATACGTCCAGACTTTCTTGCTCATTGTCTCAAAAAAAAAAGGGAAGAAAAAAAAAGGCATAAGCAGCATACGAGTGACTATTATACTTCAGAGGTCATGCCTTTTTCTTGAGATCGAGTGCGGTTCTTGGCAATTTAGAACTATTGTAAACCGGTAGACTATTGTGCTCAATGGGAACGTTTATCCGACCATGCAGGTACGGTATCGTACAGAAGTCCAATCTAAGAGCTGGCGGGCTGAAGTGATATCATAGGATTATCATGAGGGAAAGGGGAGCTAAGCCGTGGCTATTCACTTTTTTCTCCTAACCGCACATTCCCCTGTCTATATCAAACTGCAGGTCGAGATCTAAGCTTACCATACCAACATCTCTGGCTCACGGATTGTAGTTCACGTTTCATGTATGGCACCGTCTGCCTTTTTCTTCTAAGTATGACAGTTTCTCCGAAACTTGGGCAGGCTACCATGACAATTGAAAAAGGTGCCCAGTGGATGTCCTGATCAAACTCGGCTTATTACAAGGGAAATTGTCAATATGGTGCAGGCCCATCTGATGAAAAATAAACCTCCGGATTTTCCCCAATTATATTTGCCTACATCACTCCATGCCTCGTAACCTCCGTAAGGTACCGGAACTATTCGCTGTTTAGACCTATCGCCCTGATGTTCCAACTGCTGTCCCGTCTTCCCGTCCCCCATGCCTACTCTGCCCATGGATCCTTGACGAGTGGCCTCTTGATGAGTGCCTTGGGGATTTGTGTCTAGATGAACCATGTCTTGGCCGCCCGTGTCTGGAGGGGCCATGACTGGTGGGATGCTGTCTGGAGGATGAAGGGACAGAGGCAGAGGCACGTTGTGCCTCAACATCATCCACTCTAGCACTACCTCCGAAAAGCCCGCCAAAGAACCCGCCTCTCTGAAAGTTTGGTGGATGCCGTGCTCCAGGTTGCTGAGCGATCACTTCCTGTTGCTCGTCCCTATCATAATTATCGCTTAGTGAAGGGTCCGGCTGCTGCGGAAGCCCCTGGCGCCTGTTATTCTCTGCACCTCGCTGCCGAAGAAAGTTTTCTAAAATGATGGCATTGCGGGTATTGGCTTTAAACCCGATATCGACAATGTCACCCAGGAAAGGGACCAATCCGATAACAAAGTCAATGACCACGTTGAACATCATCTGTGCCCTGACGCCGGAGGGGAGGTTTGCTTGAGAAGCCGTGCGGATGACCATCAGAGCAAGCATCACTAGTACAGTATGAATTCAACAGTGCCTGATAAGAACGGTGCGGTGCGGATCTTACCATCAAGAACATCACCAATTCCCGGAATAATTGCTATGAGAGAACTCCATCCAACTCTCATGCCACAGAAGCTACCCAATGCCATGTCCAACCTATAAGCCCTTCTCTTAACCTTGGTGAGGATTTTCTCATCTTCGCGGGAGAGTCCCGGAGGAAGTGCCTTCTTGCGTCTCTTTTTTCTCCCCCCAACGGAAAGACGGCCAGCGGGAAGAGTCTCAAAGTAGGGGTCGTCGGTCCCGTGACCATTATCCGAATTTTCGCGGAGGATTTTGTTGAATACAAATTTTGTAATCAAGCCAGACATGGTAGGCAATGACTGAGAGATAACAGGATCGAGGAGATTTTCTGAGGATAACACCTGAATTATCGGGGAACTGAGGGTCGATAAGATGAGGGGAAGCTCCCGAATACCGGTACTGCGAACACTGCCCTGAAAACTCCTCTGTGGCACCAATGTAATTGTGGTCCAATGCTGTACTGGTAGGCTGACGTATCAGGACAGAGGAGGTGTTCAAATCAGAAAGCAAAATGAGGGGCCCTGGACGAGCTCTTGTTAAAGGAACGGCGAAAGGGGGGCGACGTGTAGGGTAGGAGGACTCCATTTGTTCTACTTGTAGATGCAAGATGCGTGTCAGGAAAAACCTGAAAAAGCTTCATGTTGACAGGGGGGAGCTGATCGCCACAATATTATGGTTAAGGTTATGATACCATGGGTCATTGAGGGGGGCTGACGGGGAGCGAGAGGATTGAGCTGGCCCGAGCATCCAGACCTGTGGCACTGCCACATGACGTTTCTACCGCCAGTGGCGGGACGTGGCAAGCTGCTGTTCCCGGATAAGTTAGACTGCGGGTGCCGGCATGCCCTAATAAAATTCTGCAATATTGGTATGCGGCCCTCATCCACGAATGTGGCGGTGCTCAGCCGCCTTAACTGTAATAGGCTCCCCACGCCAATTTCCTCCACTCCTCCTCCAATGCCGCTGGCTGCCTGACCTGCCATCTACTTATCGCCAAGGATCACCATATCGTCAATCTCACCTTCAACCAACTCAACACGGCCCACTACATTACTTACTGTTCAGCTCTCGATTGTGTTTCGTGTACCGATACCGTACAATTTACTTTTCCTTTCTGTCGTTGTTTTCTTTCCCTTCCCTCTTACTGTCTTTTCATTCCTGATCACTTTCCGCTTGCTCCTCCCTTTGGGGGACCAACAAGCTTCCCTTATTTCGCTCTCCAGCGCCCCCGGGCTAGCCCCGAATCCTGTGTTGTTCCAGACATCTACGAATGAGAAACCATGGATCCCACTAGTTCTTATGTATGTTTGTCTAGGCCTTTGGAGAAATGAAGGCTGAAAGGGACCCGCAGATTTTTAGTAACTCGACGCTGGTCGAAATTCTAGACGACCTTTGTGTGAGGTACGTGTCGCTACGCTCCCTCCAACGGCCTCAAAGTGCTAATCTTGCATCTAGGTTCATCATTAATCTGCCAGAGGAGGAGTTGAGTTCGATTGAGGTTCGTCTGTCGCTATTGTCCCCCATTGTCGCTGCTGCGACCCACAGCGATTGTCCAGTGTATAATTTCTAACCAGCACAGCGAATATGTTTTCAAATCGAGGAGGCACAATGGTATTTCGAGGATTTTATTCGAGAAATGAATCCCACGCTACCCACACTTCCGCTCCGCGCTTTCCTTAATAAGATTTTTGCTGTTTGTCCGCTACCCATCCTAAAGGAAATGCCACCTGAACGAGCCGAAAATGCCTTTGCGGAATTCATGGCTTATAAGACGCGCGTGCCGGTTCGTGGAGCAATATTGTTAAACACTGCGATGGATAAGTGTGTACTTGTTAAAGGATGGAAGAGTGGGGCCAGTTGGAGTTTTCCTCGGGGAAAAATCAACAAGGATGAGAAAGATGAGGACTGTGCGGCAAGAGAAGTATTAGAGGAAACTGGCTATGAGGTTGAAGGAAGGGTGCATAGCAGTCATTTTGTTGAAGTTACAATGAGGGAGCAGAATATGAGGTTATATATCGTTCCAGGAGTACCCGAGGAAACAAGGTTTGAGCCAAGGACAAGGAAAGAGATCAGTGTGCGTAAAACTATTCCCTTTTCCTCGAATGCCTGCCTGGAACCTTAATTTGTTTATTTTACTGACTCTGATTTCTGGTTTGAAAGAAAATTGCATGGCACCACTTGTCTGAGCTACCAACCTTCTCAAAAAAGAGGAGCCAACAAAACACCCAACAATCTGACGTACGAACCGGAAAGTACTATATGGTTGCCCCATTCCTCAAAGAGCTCCGTAAATGGATTTCAACAACTGGAAAGAAGTGGCTTGAGGAGCAGAAGCAGATACCCTCTTCGGCGGCTCTCATCAATGATAAGACAGGGATGGGGGAAGAAATTACCCCACGGCGCGCCTTAGATTCTTCGGCAGAATTAAAAAATATCTTAGGCATTCCGCACAACGAGACCACTAAGCCTAACGGAAACCATAATACCATCGGAACCGACGAGGCCACCGCGAGGCTTAAGGACTTTCTCAACCTTTCTGGACCTGCCACAGAGCCTATGGATGCTTCTAGCAAACTGAAGTCCATACTCAATGTCGGTGGTGGGGGAAATAACGCCCAGATAACAGAGCAAGCTCTCGAACCTAACCCCCAAACACTACTTTCCATTTTACAGAGCGGCGGTGGACCTTCAAACTCACAACCAACTGCAACACCCTCAAGCCTCTCACAGCCTATGGGGCAGCGCACGCCTTCGGTCCCAACACCTGTTCATCACTCCCCAACCGACCCGCCCAACAATCTTATGAGTGACTTTCACTCTCGGATATACCCCCCACATCCACCATCTCCTCCCCCCACCTCCAGTTTCCTTGGTCCTCGCCAGACGTACCGTCAGCCACACAATCAACCTTATCCTCCGAGCCACCCGTTCCCCCACCATCAATTCAATCAACCCATATTTCCCTCAAACCACCACGGCGAATCTCCCACCTTCCCGAACCAGCCCCCAGGTTGGCGGCGGCCACCTCCGGCCTCACTTGACGTGCTTATCCCCCCACCTGCCCCTTCCAAGCCCCCAGATCCGGGACAAGCAGTAATGCTATTGTCAATTCTCAAAAGTGCTGCACCAGCCCCCCCACCAACTCCGCATACACCTCCCCCTGCAAGGGCTGCAAACCCTTCACCCGTTCCCTCCCAGTCGTGCCATCAACAAGAGCAGCAAACAAAACGAATTGGCTTGCAAGCCCCTCCATCCTTAAAGACTTCTAGATCGCAGCACAAAAACAACCTCCTTGATACCCTTCGAGCTGGTGCAACTGAGATCACAAGACCAACATCCTCTATCCCCATTGCTCAATATGGCTCCCCGCCAAGGCATACGACGTCTCCAAGTTCCGGGAATACAAATACGCCGGCAAGGTCCGTGCGCTCCACAATTACCACCCCTCAAGTAAACCAATTCCCCTCATGGGCTCCGAATACCTCGCACACCCCGGTTCCTGCTAGCACCACCCCACAACCCACGAGCTTTGATAGACGCCAATCTGTTAGCAACGAGCAGCAAAAAGCTCTGCTCGCAATATTCGCCAATGGCGTGTCTACTCCCCATGAAGACTCTGTAGTCACACCCTCACCCGAGAAAGCAAGACCTATCACCCCTAAGAGACCGAGGACCACAAGTTTTGCTCGAAGGGTTTTCCCGACGAGCCCTTTGTCGAGTGAGAAGGATGGGCTCTTGGCTTATCTCGAAACTGTGGCTAAGGAGGGTGGTCAGTAACGGAAGGGCGGATCGCTATTCATCGAACACTTTTTTCTTTTTCTTTTCTTTTCTTGCTTTCTTCTTTTCCTCCGTCTTTTCTCTTTTCTTTTGCCCCCCGGCCCCCTTTCTCAATTTCTGCTACTTTCTGTTCACTTCTATACCCTCCTCTCACTCCAATCCTTTCCTATGTCTGTCGGAGTTATTCTCAGCTGGGGTATTCCAACTTTACCTTTAGCTAAGGAGGAGCGCTTTTGCAAAAGAAATCACTTTCAGGAATTTGTGCATTGCTTTTGCAAGTTGGGCGGATTCGGGTCTTTGGGTTTTTCGGGTATGCTCTTGTATTCTACGGAAAGCTTTCTTGTACTGTACCATGAGGGATGGGAACGTGCTATGGCTATGAAAAGGGGGGCGCTGTTATGTAGGCGTTGTTATTCCTCCTTCTTCTCTTTTAAAACCCGAGGAGGGTATTGTACTGCTATTGTTTAATACCCTCAATGATGGTGATGAGAATTGTTACGAGGTTCAGGGTTATGGCGTGCAGAGCTTGGCAGTTATCGATCATGCGTGTGGTGGAGAATGAGGTGGATTGCGATGGTGGCTAGTTAGTTAGTTTCAGTACCGGTGTTATTGACCGGGTTCAAAGCTGGCACAAAAAAATAAAAAGGCAAAAAAATGGCGACCCCCTGGGGATCGTCCTTGTCGATCATGGGTATCACTCGCAATGGAGATTCTTATCGTGATGACATGGTGGATCAGCAAGGATTATCATCATTCAATAACAAGTTGACGGGGTGATATTAACGATGACGAATACTCTGTCGTACCCCCACCCCCCACTCCACTATAGTAGTAACTCATACCGGTACTATGGTGGGCACCGGTGGTACGTATGTGTGTACTAGTACGGTACAGTTGCTCGCCCAGTACTCGTACAGTACCAGAGCATCTGCAGACCATGATACCACCACACCGCAACAACAACAACAACACTGTATAGTACGAGTAACTTATCAGCAACAACAATATTTACCCCCCCGAGCCGCAAAGTTGTGGGAACCCGCGACTCCCCTCGCTCATGGACCCGTAGCGCTGGGAGGGGAGGGGAGCAGGGAGGGGAGGGGAGGGGAGCAGGGAGGGAAGGAGAGGTGTGTGGCGGACACAAGCTCCCCACCACCCACCCCCCTTTCCCCACCATCACCTCTCCCCTACGTGATACAAGACTAATGCAGCTCAAGAAGGGGTGGGGGATAAAAGTGAGAGTGCGTTAATGGTTTGCCGCTATGGTAAGTTACGGTACAGTACTCGGCTACCTACCTACCGGTACAGGACAGTATAGTACAGTACGAGTTGCATTTGGAAAACCGCCCGGATATGGTGCTACCGGTGCCGTATTGGGCTGTTGGTGCGTCGAGGGGCCGACTGCTTGCGATTGTCACTGCTGCTGCTGCTGCTGCTGCTGGTATCAAATGATAATGCTTTGTTTGGATGGAGGGTGGGAGGAGATGGGGGGCGCTCTGGCGCTTTTGTATAGTACCGGTATGATACTGGAAATGTGCAGAACAATTTCGGTGGTCTACGGCTCGCCTGTGTTGAGCTGGACTGTATCAAAGTGTGGTGGTGGCATTATGGGCTTTGTATTTAATTGTTTGTGGGGAGTTTTTTTTTTTTGATAAAAATTGTCACCTTTAATGCTCATGATATTGGTCTTGGGTCCAATGATAGAGCTTGACTTTATTTTTATTTTTTTAGCCGGAACGGATTGCACATTATTCTGGAGGATTTAGAGAGTTACAAATTTTAATTTTTTTAACCAAAGTGATCAAGGAGGGATCTCGAGATGGCACTGCGAAGGGGGTCATTTCTGGTGCAAAATGCCGAAAGGCCCACGGCTTTTGACGCTAAGATCGTGCATTCTTTTTTAGTATGGACCCTGATAACGGAACAAAATCTGGGGTCACCTCTCCACCAGCTCTCCCCCCACTGCACTGTACCTACCTGCTATTTGTGCCTTGCGGGTGAATCAGCTTGTGGCGGCTTTCTAGCCGGTGACTAAATTCTAGCTTTTTTTCTTTTCTTTTCAACTAACTACCGTATCATAGGTAAATTTCGGGCTCTTAATTTGGGGAATGTCCATTTTTGACCAAATTTGGGTTGGCACGGCATTTTTTTTCCTTCTTCCTCTCACGAGTACCGGTATCTATGGCTGTAGAGTATCTCAGTCTTGTGCCTTCCCAAATGCGACAGTCTGCCGGTATCATACCACCCCTCCGCAAAGATTCACCATGATTCACCCATCCACCCGAGCAAACCCGGGGGGGCGGAAAAGAAGGCCAGAAGAAACCAGAGATCCTGATCAGCCCTATGGAATCACGTGACAAGTGTGTGTGCGGAGGAGCACAAATCTGCCCTAACGATGGACTGTATGCAGCGTTCTGTGGGATATACCACAAGTCAAGGTATGATGGCACCAGTACGGTAGTGGTAAAGGGGGAGGGGTTGGAAGCAGGCGAGATCTTTTGAGTTGCAGCAGTGATCGGTACCGAAGCAGTGTACGAGTACCAGGACAAGCGATTGCTGCCTAGGGCCCCGCACAAGCGCCCGAGTAACGGCAGCTTTTCACCACTTCTGGAGATTGGGGAAACGTATAGTTTGGGGCTGGGTCGGAGGGTGGGGGAGGGATTCCGCTGTTTTGGGTTTAGAGCTTTCTCCTCTCTCTCCCCTCTCCTTCGACACCCCCAAGGCCGGGCCTTGCTTGAAATGAATGGATTAATTAGGCAGAAGAGAGAATGAGAGGAGGTCGTGAGAGGGTTGAGGAGTTGGGGTGGGAAACTCGCTTGCTTCTGCGATGGGGAAAGGGGAGAAAGGACGAGTGGGCTTCCAACCTTTGCCAGAGGGATGCACGGGGGGAGCTGCGGTGCGAGATATGGAAATGTGATGCGGGTAGGCCTATGAGTACCAGTACCTGGGTACTGTCCTAGTACAAGTACTCGTGCTATGGTACCGGTACGGTACTTTTGTTTGGACGCTCGAACCTCGATAACGGTATGAGTGGGATTGGGACTATCTTCTCTCCTCCCCCTTCTCTCTCCTATCTCTCTCTCTCTCTCTCAGTTTGCTTGCTCTGTAATCAGGCACTATGGAATTGTTGTGGAAGGTTTTTTCCTTTTTATTATTATTCTGGCTTCTTCGCACTCTTCTGTGGAATTTGATGGGTGTTTTTTTTTTCTTTTCCCCCCAGAGTTTTTGGCAGTGTCTGTGAAAAATAAAATACAGAGTGGGAAGGGAGAGATCTTTTTTGATTGCTTTTTTTTTTTTTTTTTGGAGGGCGGGCTGATTCAGGTTCGACGGACGGGATTATGGAGGATTGCGCATCATTCTGCTGGCTTTTACCTTGACGGACGGTTGGATCTGCAAATGAGAAAGAGCTCTGGGCCAGCTGTCGATAGCTCCGCCGTCTCTGATGCCCTATCATACGGTGCTCTCCCCGTATCATATGTTCCCGAGGACTAGCACAGCACGGTATGTACTCCCACCACTCGAGAAATACCAGATTTTAGGTTTTCGCATCGATGTGCTGCCCTATCCTTTGCTGCATCACCTCGGCATTTGAACGAACGGGGCGGTTCGAAGGTTGGTGGTCAATCAGCGGGCATTGACTACTAGTGAATGCTGAATGCAGTGATGTATGGGAGAGAGAGATGATTGAGAGTACTCGTAGAGGCCGTATGTATCCGTAACGATGGTGCTGGAATTGGTGCGCAATTCGACCTCTTTTCTCGGGTTACATATATTCACGGCATGCGGTGAACAAGCTGGGAAACGGATTGGGAATAAAAAAAGAAATAAAGAAAGGAGGGAAAGGCTCTAGGGCCACGAGAGACGTGAAGGCTGTATAATAAATAATATGACAAAACAGAAAATGGAAAAAAAAGAAAAGAAAAGGGTTTTATGATAGAAAAAATTTCCAAAGAAAGAGCTTTGCTTGCCCTCTCCTTATCCCGACCTCTCTTTCCTATTCGTTGATTTTTCTCACTCTTCGCCTCTCCCGCTCCCTATTTCACATAACCTAGACCTCTCTCTCTCCTTCTGCATTCGCATCTTGACAACGTTCGTCCCCTCCGCCCTTCCCCTGCCATCCCGCTCCATCAGAATTCCCGACAGCTCGCCCCCCTCGGCCAATCTCATCACCCTTCCAGCCGCTGGTACGATAGCTAGGCCGCAGCACTCTCTTCCGTCGCCGCTTCTCCTTTCCCAGTGCACGAGCGCATCCAACAGAGGAGAGAGGGCGGAGAGGACAACCTCGAGCTAGTTATCCTCCACCAACCACATCCATTTTCCCACGCACCTTCTCTCGGTAGGTCCTCCATCCATCCTCTCCCTCCTTCCTTTCCAACTCCACACTTTCTCTCACCTCCCCCGCCTTGACGAGCCCCCTGTCTCCCGTTCCACACCCCTTCTCCCTTCCATTTTCCTCCCCTTCCTCTCCCAGCCCGAGTCGGCTATTGTCATAAGCACTTTTTTTTTTTCCTTCCCTTCTTAATTTCCCCTTTTCAAGTCTGCTTTCCATTTCGCGTAGGCGCTAGCCAGGAAGCGAGACAGTATCGCATCGCGCATACCCAGCCTAGCATCCAGACCCCCATTTCCCTCTCCATCCGTCCCCTTTCTTCCACACCACCCCCCCATTCTCCGAATCATCTGTCAACCGTCTTCAACGACATCTGTCAATCTCTCGCGAATCCGCCTCGATCGTCGTGCGGTATTGCTTCCTTTGTCGACTAACACGATCCACTCTTTTCCCGTCTCCGTAGACCTCCTCGCCCTCTGCCAGATCGGACCCCAGCTGCTTTCGCGGTGAAAAGGTAGCCTCGTTCGATAAAAGACGACGACACGACCGGATATACCACAGCAGCTTCCCCTGGTGGTGATTTTCGATATTATACAATCGCCATGTCTGACATACAGGACAGAATCGCCGCTGCTCGAAGGGAGGCTGAGGGGCTGAAAGCAAAGATAAAAGTCAAGAAGGAGGAATTGGCGGATGCGGATTGTGAGCAGATGACGCGAATTGAAACCGATTTTGGCCTTTTTGCTGACTTTTTTGCTTCCCTTTGCAGTGCGACAAGTCGCGAAGGAGACTCTCGATCCCCTCCCACGCACTCAGATGAAGGTACGAAAAACGCTCAAGGGTCATTTGGCGAAGATCTACGCCATGCACTGGTCGACAGACAGGAGGCACCTGGTTTCGGCTTCGCAGGATGGGAAGCTCATTATCTGGGATGCATATACCACAAATAAGGTGCATGCTATTCCCCTTCGCTCCTCGTGGGTTATGACATGTGCATATGCTCCGAGTGGTAATTACGTTGCTTGTGGTGGCCTCGACAACATCTGTTCGGTATACAACCTTTCCGCCAGAGATGGTCCTACACGCGTTGCGCGCGAGCTTTCGGGTCACTCGGGCTATCTGTCCTGCTGCAGATTCATCAACGATAGGAGGGTTCTCACTTCGTCGGGAGATATGACATGTATGCTATGGGATATTGATACGGGCGCCAAAATTACCGAATTCTCCGATCATCTCGGAGATGTCATGAGCCTCAGTATCAACCCCACAAATCAGAACATCTTTGTCTCGGGTGCTTGTGATGCTTTCGCAAAGCTCTGGGATATCCGCACGGGAAAGGCCGTTCAAACTTTTGCGGGACACGAATCCGATATCAATGCTGTTCAATTTTTCCCGGATGGAAATGCGTTCGGTACCGGTTCCGATGATGCTACCTGCCGTCTATTTGATATTCGTGCCGACAGGGAGCTTAACACTTATTCTGTAAGAGCTCTCCGGGCCTTTTGGTGGGGCTCCTCCTGGTCGGATGTTTCGCTAATGTGTAAACTCTTCAATCTAGTCCGATCAAATTCTTTGCGGGATTACATCGGTCGCCTTCTCTGTCTCTGGTCGCCTGCTCTTTGCTGGATATGACGATTTCGAGTGCAAAGTAAGTAGAGACTTCTCCACACCTTGTCATGACTCAGCCCCGATCCCATCGCAGATTGTGTTCCAATCCCTGCACATGTTACACGAAGGTGAATGGGTACTGACAGTTTTTTCGATTAGGTTTGGGATGTACTTCGTGGGGAACGTGTGGGTACTCTCACCGGTCATGACAACCGTGTTAGTTGTCTCGGTGTCAGCAATGACGGAATTAGCTTGTGTACTGGGTCGTGGGATTCCACTGTGAGTTCCTTTACTCCTTTCTGTTCGATAGCCTGAGATTTTGCTAAACTATTGGTGCAGCTCAAGATTTGGGCTTGGTGATCGGGTGCATAAATGGGTATCACGGACGGTGGAGGTGAAAAAAACGGAATGGGGGAGTTGTGTTGTTTGTAGGCCGAGTTAATGTTTTCGCCATGTGGTCGGGCTCGCATACCTCCAAAACGCTATCAAGTATTCTGGAGCCGAGGGGTTAGATGTGGGGAGAAACTTGGGGCTCAATTTTTTCTGCTTTCTCTTTTTTTTCTTCTTATTTCTTTTCAATGGTTAACTGTGGCAAGCTGGCAACCTCCTCTTTTTCCCCCACGTTTATCTTCACCACCCTTGTAAGTTACCTTGTTTTACCCATTTTTTTCTTCAAATACCTCTTTGTTTGTCTGTCAGAAGTGCTGGTACGGGATGGCATGAGATGACTGTTTGGTATTTATTATTGATAGTGCCTCAGTCTTTTTTTTCTTGCTTCAGGTTTCTGTGCAGCGGGCTGGGTTGGTTGTTTGAATATTCCGGTAGTCCTTTTATTCTTCCTACTTGCTACCCTTTTTTTTTTCTCTCGCCAATGTTGTGAGTCTTCGGAGTTTTTTCTTTCTTTTTTTCCATTCCCATTTTATTTTGTTCTCTTGCTTCTGCTATGTTACGGTACCCATTCTCTCTATCCCGAGCTATAACTCTTGATATCTCTGAACTGATCTGACATCCCTTATGTTTGAAGTTTCTGCTTCTTCCGTTGTTTCTATAACAAGTAGTATTTACACACCTTTCACCTTTTCTTTTCTTCTTACCCTTCAACTTTTCCTTTTTCTCTACGGTCTGGACGTGGAAGTGCGTATTTACGGAATTGGATTGGATAGGATGGCGGCTATGAATACAGAACTGGACAGAAACAGGAACAGGAGCAAATGGTGAAGTGAGTGGAGGCTTTCGGGTCAGAAAAATAATTATTTTCCTGTAACCCACACCACGCGATTACTAAGCACTTGACTAACTAGTCTACCGGGCAACCGACCACTTTTCATGTACAAGTACCGGTTCAAAATTAAATTAAGGGCGCGTCTGGTTGCCATCAGTTTTTCAAAGTAGTAAAATGGCAAAACATAGGTTGCATCCTACAAGTGTAGTTATCACAAGTTAGTATAATTGAGAAAAATATACGTCAGAGTGTCGTGTCTGGTTGACACTCAGACACATTGCATGAAAAGCACTAGCATATTATATAACCATGCAACCAAGTTGAAAAGCATGAGAGTAATAACCCATCATGAATTCATTCAGAAATAACATCAACTTACCTATCTATTTTTCCATTCTCTCTTCAAAGTTCACATCCTCAAAAATGGCCAAAATGAAATGGACTCCGGCAATGGTTGAGACATTGCTTAAAATCCTCCACGAGCAGGTACTGCGGGGTAAACGGGCAGAAAATGGATTTAAGAAAAAGGTATGGATTGCGGTGAAGGAAGGATTGCGCGAGTCTTACCAAATTGACTTGGAAGCAAGTCAACTTAAAACGAAGTGGGCAAATGTATGTTAGCAGACTCCTATTATATATAAAAATATATTAATAAATTTTTTTAAAAAAAAATAGATCAAGAAAGATTATGAGGTGTATACCATAATTAAAAACAACTCAGGGTTTGGATGGGAAGACCACCGAGCTGTACCTACTGCCCCCGATAGCGTTTGGGATACCTATATCAAAGCCCACCCAGAAGCCGAAAAGTTTCGCAAACGGGGTCTAATGCATTATGATATTTTGCATGAGCTATGCGCTAATCTATCTGCCATAGGGGAATTTGCAAGAAGTACAAACCTTTCCTTTCGATGGAGACCTTCGCTGAAGTCTGGTGAAACGTGCTCGACCCAAACGAGTAATTCAGTGACGAAACAATCAGCTGGAGATGAGAAAGAAGACTCAGAAGAGCAAGGAGAGAGTCAATACATACTTGGAAAAGGTTTGGAGGTTATGGAGTCTCAGGAGAGAGACAAGTTAGTTAGGGAAGAGTCGGTTGAGGAGCTAGCCAGTGGGTATAGAGAGGTTGTACAGAAGGGGCACAAGAGACAGAGACGGAGGGGGAAGGATGTAGGATCAGAGATGTTAGATAGACTTGAAGGAAGTGAGGAAGAGGATGGGGAGGAGGGGGGGAGTCAACCTACCTTAAAGAAGATTCGACGAGAGCGGAATACAACTGGCCGTGCAATTGCTCAAGCCTTGGATCGACTCGGAGCTACTGCTCAAACAATTCAGCGTCCAAAGATGGAACTTGCTGTTGAAAGACTACAGCAAGATTATTCATCATTACTCACTACGGAGGAGATGGTGAAGGCCTTTCTGATAATGGAAAATGAAGTAAAGACTTCTGTTTTCATTTCTCTACTGCCTGGTGAGGCACGAGACTGTTGGCTACGCGAAGCAATTTGTAAATTATAATTTATTTCAGTTATGATGTTTCTTTTTCTTTGTATTTGATTATTATTTTTATTTTTATTTTCATAAAAGTTATGAAATTGTGATTTGATTATCTATTTACATATATAATGTAATCAATTCACATCTGCTCTGCCAGCTTGTCTCGAAACTCTTTCATCACAATATCATCAGCTACCAGTTCTGGTACAGTAACATTTGACAGTAGTCCTCCGCTCCCTCCATGTTGACTATTTCTCCACCGATCCTGCTCTTGCTCTTGTTCTTTATTATAATCTTCCTCCCAAACCAAACATTCCTCCTCCCCATTTCTTTTCAGAATAAAATTATGTAAGGCAGTAAGAGCCATTACTAATTTTACTTGTGATTCGTAGGGATATTCAAATCGGGATTGCAGTATTGAAAACCGTTTTTTCAATATGCCAAACGTTCGTTCGATACAATTTCGAGCCTGTGTATGCCGTAGGTTAAACAGTTCCTCTTTATTTTTAGGCCTAATTAATTGTACATATATTATATTATTAGCTTGTATAAGTAGTATAAAAGTTTAATAAAAAAAGTTTGATGTATACCTTAACTTAGAAATTGCCTGCTCTCGTAAATGATAACGAACTCCACGATATGGAGCTAAAAACCCTTTTCGCAATGCATATCCAGCATCAACAAGGAAGTATTTGCCCTCCGGTACTTCTAATCCATTCTGCAATGCCCATTGAAGGACTCGCGCATCATGTGCTGACCCTTCCCACCCGGGAATAACACAAGTAAAAAAAAGACTAAATGTACAAATTGCAAGTACATTTTGACTTATTTCCCCCTTTCGATTCCGAAACCTTGGGATATTATCATAGCTAACCTTAGCAGGAATATGAGTACCATCCACTGCTCCTAATGCATTTTTAAAATATGGATACAAAATTCCTTTTTTTTTCCAGATTTCTCGTGGGAGTACTTCTGGATCTGGAAGCTCGATATTCTCTTTGGACAAGTTGACTAAACCATCAAGAATCGTGTTGAATATTCTGTAATATTATTATTTATTAAAAATTATGTACAATAAATTATTTTGTTTTATTTTAAATACAATATAAAAAGTTACTTCGTCACAGTAAATCCACTAACTTGAAATCTTTCCTGTACCTCGCGATTGGTACTGCGATGACCAACGATAGCAAGAAACATCGCCAACTGTTCTTCTATCGAGATCTTTTTGGTTTCTTGTAGTCCTATATGTACAACCATCCAGTCCCTTAAGTTAAGAAAAGTCTGTTTAGGCATCCGGAGGACTTCATAAATTCGGCGATCATTTGAGGTAAGTAACTCTTTGATGTACTCCTTTCCGCTTAATGGCGAGGTTCGACATGCCTCCTTATCGAATTGCAGACAGGCATAGGTACCAACAATAAGACCTATGTTACATAACATAGGAGGAGAAAATGGATATAAAGATTGAGAGATATTAGAATCAGGCATTATGGATAGAATTTTTCTGGTATGTTTCAGGTATGTTTACTGGAGAATGGCGATGACTTCTATACTTACAAATACTATAGTGTGGTTGGGTTAGGGTTTCTTTATTTTACAGTTTTGTAAAAAATAGGTTCTACCTATTTTTTTGATACCTTCGTTTTGAGCTAATTGTTACAACTTGATCATTTTGTTTCACTGTAAACCAGACATGCCACTTGACGGCAAAATAGAGTTGTGTGGGAAACTTCTAAAATCAGGGCCAAAATAGAGGTTTGTTGTGGCAACCAGACGCGCCCTAAAGCTTTGACCTGTCGGCGTCCCCACCCACGGATAGTCTAAAAAAGCACATGATAAAACAATACTCGTACGAGTATGATATTACAAGTGCCAGGGGTGATGATTTCGTACACTCCAAATGCGTACAGGGATATTCGAGAGACTAAATTGGTTTGGTAGGGAAACATGTGATTATAACCAAATAGAGATGAAAATAAAAATGATAAAGCAGATAATAAGAATAGAGAATAAGGATACAACCTAGAAGAGGGGGAAGAAAAGAAGAGAAAAATAAATAAGGAAGGAACTGATTTATTCGGGTTTCCCATACTCAGAGTAACTATCATGTGCGGGCTGAACCTATATGTAAGAGAAGTAGAGAGAGAGTATTGGTAGATAGTATAAGGAATAAGGAGGACCTGAGAGTAGACAGGGAAATTTCCAGAGAGTTGACCTCATTAATGTATGTAGAAGCTGAGTGTATTAGAACCAATTAAGTTGTTCTTTATTGTTTTTAAATGAGTGGTTTTTTTTTTTTAAAAACCTACATATAAGTGTGGTTTTGTTGAAACCTATACATGGGCTTTGTTGGTTACCAGGAAAACAGGTTTGAAGGGTGGCAATCAGAGAAAATCAATCTTGAGATAAACACTTTTTTCTTTTTCTCTACAGTAGAATAACTTCTCTTCTGTAATAAAAAAGTTTAAAAATAAAGGAATTCTATTAAAATTTTATTTACTATGTAAAGTATATATCTGTGCTTTAAAATATACAAAAATATATTATTCATGTAGTTTTCCTACCATGTTTATTCTTAGATCCTAGAGGCCTTCCATGTTTTTTTGTTTTTGGCAATCCCTCCTTAAGCAGTAGAGCTTTCCTTAGCTGCTTAACCATCT